TCTAATCTGCTCCCCATGACCATGAGGGAGGTAAAAAGGGGAGTGTAGAAGCATGATGCAGCTCATTCTTGTCATGGAAATGATAGTTTAGCCCAGCCCCCAACCTTTGGTCACCATGTTGTGGACCAAAACTCCCATCATCCCTCAACCGTTGGATAGTTCTGGCTGGGGCTGATGGGAACTGGAGTCCAGCAGCATCTGAAGACTCAAGGGTGGGGGAAGGAGGGTTTAGCATAAGATCTGAATGTGACCATCAGCAATCACCACTGACCCTTTGCAGGGCCTTTGTATACCAGGAACGCCAAGTCATGCTTTGGCTTTGAGGTAAAGGGTGGTGCTGCAACACACCTCTTTTGTAGTCACTATCTTCTTAAATGCCAAGACACTGGAGCTTCACCACAGCTTTACAAGCAGACAAATGGTTTTCTTACTTGTACTTTACCCACTTAGTTGTCAAAAGCTTTAATAAAGGCAGAGAAAAGTGTATGAGATAGAGCTAAATGATAATATGGAAATATTTATATATTCAAAGTCAACACACAGTACTGTGGGTTGTAGCCAACTAAGTGCTACTTGGAGTAGACACACTGAATATGATGGACTTAAGTTAATTGTGTGCATTAATTTCAGTGGGTTTCCTCTGAGTATGTATATAGCCCTATATATGTGTTCTTATATTATTTAAGGAGATTTTGTTCGGGTTGAGGAATAAAACAAATAAAAGTCTGACACTGAACAAGGCTGCCTGATTTCCTCCCTTTACATTCCTGTTCACCCATAGGTGTCCCGTGGAGCTTTTCCTGCCATAACATAGTGGCTGTTCTTCCAGGAGAGCCAGGGGTGAGACTTGGAAGTCCCACCTTCCTTTCCTATGGCCTGTGGAATGACTGCTGTGGGCAACAACATAGGGGGACAGGTGAATGTGTGGTGACAGCAAGAAGGAAAAGTAGCATTGTGGGGTTCCAGGTTGGTTGTGGGTCTCCAGCAAAGCCAATCTTTGACACCTGCCTCATTCCACCTCCAGACTCATCAAATGAAAATCCATTGTGTACACTGACCAATGGCCTCCACAATCCATCCTTAAAGTCTACTCCCTGTATCCTAAGATCATGGATGGGGAACCTCAGGCCCAGGCCCCTCTATCTGGCCCTGGGGACTCTCTTCAGCCACACCTTCTGTTGCCAAGCCATACCAAGGCTCACTGGCCTTGCTCCACATCCTCCTTGAGTGCTTTAGCCTGCCTGAACTCTCTGATCATGCCTGTCACTTGTCTGGTGTGTAGCCTGCTTTACAAAGGCAACATTAACATTCATGGCTCTACTCACTTTTGCCTCTGGCCTTGCCCATCACTGGAAGGTTGCCCAGATGGGGATGCAGCTTTTGGCCTAAAAAGGTTCCCCATCTCTCTGGGGCAGCAGGGAGTGAGAAGAATTCCAGATTGCCTTCAGCTGAACAACCAACCCGAACAAAACCACGTAGAAGAGGCTGGGTGTTCAAGAAGCTGTTTGTTCCATTCCAGCTGCCATTTCTTATTGCTCTAATTATAGGATTCTTCACCACAGCTACGTGGTAAATCAAAGCTACAGCGATGGGTGTTGGACTGTCATCAATGTCTCCTTCCCCCTTTACACATGCACACACAAGAAACAATTCAAGCGAGAGCTTTTGTTTTCCTCTCCTTTTGCAAAGCAGTTATGACAGAATAATTTGCTGCTATGTAATGCATTTTGGAGGCCGACTCCAGGGAGGTGCACTAACGAATATAGCTATTTGTCATCTGGAGTGCCTCCATTTCTCCCATTAAATTAGCAACCCAAGCCATGCACACGGAAAAGGGGAGGTTGTACTATTTCATGGAGACTCTTGTCAAGCCAAGGAGGCACAATGGAAGGAGGCAACCTGCTTAACAATACAATTTCAGGAATTTCCTTCTTCGGTCATACTAAAGGCCTGCTTCCCTGAGTAGCCAACCGGACACCTCTTAGGGGTAGAATTTTGTGCCCAAATGTGTCCAGCTTATCTAGTAATTCTTAGCACCTTAAAGCAGGCACCATCAATGTGGCACCCATGGGTGCTGGCATGCCACCCAGTACCTAGTACGTGTGAAATGTCAGTAAATATAATTTCAAAGATTCACAAAGTGCAAGAGTCTTTGCTCTTTCTGCTCACATATGGGGAAGGAAATTGTTATAGCAAGGAATGAGAGTGAGGTCCAGCAATTGCCCTCCCTTTAATGCCCCAGCATAAGGTCTAGCAGGCCAGGACTAACATTGCTTCGTTATTATCCTCTGGCAAACTGTCCTTGCAGGAATTAATATAACCACCACTGAAAAGGCCCTGTCACAGGACAGTGCCAAGTGGGCAGCTCTCATTGGCAGCCCCACCAATAAGGAGATAATAATATAACTGCATTTACTTGCTTTGTTCTTTATTTGCCTCACTCTATGAATAAAACCTGATAAAGAATAACTTTATTGACTATCTGAATCTATAAAAGAACCACTGGCTTTGGCAGAGCAAATCATTCATCAAAACATTCAGTTCCTGTTTGCACTGGCTCGGCCTGTCCTACAATGAACACATCCCTTGAAACATGCCTACATTTCATTGGATGCCCTCCCTCCCATTCTGGACAAAGAAGAGGGGCAAACAGTGTCTCTTCGTGAGCAAACTGGAGCAAACCAAGAGCCCCAGCCAGCATAGCCAAGGCAGGGTCAGAGATGATGGGTGCTTTTGGCTGATGCCTCTGGCATAAATGGTGTCATTTATGTTCATAGGAAGGGGTGAAAAGCAATGCAAGGAGTTGAAAGGCTATGTCTTCTCCATCACATCCCAGATTCTGCAATTGCACTTGGCTATGCTGGCTGGGGCTGATGGAGTTGTAGTTCTACAACATCTGGTTGGCCACATCCTCATATCTGTTGTAAGAGATGGTCTTAGGAACATAGGAAGTTGCCTTTACACAAATCATGCCACTGGTCCCATCCAACTCAGTACTGTTAACACTGACTGGCCCACAGGCAGTGCTAGATTTGGGCATGGACCACATAAGCTACAGTTTAGGGCCTCAGGTGCTTCTAAACACCATTTTTCAAGTTTTGCATAAATTGTGTGGGGGTTTTTCAAAGGGAAACAGGGTAAACAGACCCTAAAATAGACATTATCATTCTGCTGTGACAAAATGATACTTAATAACTACACAATTATTTGTCAGATTGCATTTATGAATCTGTGCAGAAATAACCATAATTTAGATCAAATTTTCATCAGGTCAGGTGTCCATAAGCTGTCAAACAATATATGCTTGAAACCTTTCCTATAAGGAAAGTTTGCCAAGTTTGGGACTCTTTAGTTTAGTGAAAAGAGCGTAAGAGCTGGCATGACATAAGTTTATAAAATTAGGCACAGCATGCAGAGAGTGGATAAATAATAAAATTGTTGTTGTTGTTGTTGTTGTTGTTGACATCCACTGAAGCTGAGTGTTGGGCATTAGGAAGTTCCTCTTCACACAGCACATAGTTAAACTATGGAACTCACTGCCACGGGAGGCAGTGATGCCTACCAACTTGGGTGGCTTTAAAAGAGGACTGGACAAATTCATGGAAGATAATAGCAGTTGCTAGAAAGCACAGCAAGGTGGGGAGCACTCTTGAGTTGAGATCCAGCTTGCAGGTTTCCCTTGGGCATCTCATCGACCACTGTGAGAACAGGATGCTGGACTAGATGGGCCACTGGCCTGATTCAGCAGGACCCTTCTTATGTTCTTAAGCAGCCCTGGTGGCAGGTGAGGTCCAGCATTTACAAATGTATTTGGTTATTCAACAGGGCCTCTTAAACTTAACAAAGCTTTCAGGCCTCACTCAGCATGTCTAAATGTCTTATGACTGCAAGTTATTTTTTACAAAAATACAATTTTAAGTCACTGAGACATTTTATACAGAAGGCAACAAATAAATGCTAATGCTAATCATCACCATCATTTTAAAAACCTGGCCCAGCCTGCAAAGTGGAGATTTCATAGCTCAGTGGCAGAGCACTTGCCTTGCAAGAAGAAGGTCCTTGGTTCAATCCCTGGACTGGGAGGGACCCTTGCCTGAAGCCCTGGAGAGCTGCTGCCAGTCAGTGTGGACATTACTAATCTAGATGAACCAATGGTCTGGCTAGGTATACACCAGTTTCCTCTGTTTCCACCAATGTGATAAATAAATAAATAATGCAGATTAAGTACAGTGTAAAAGAGGCCCAATAATCAGTATTTGAATCTACCCATTGTGAAGGTTGTTGGGGGGGGAGAATTCTTGACCTTTGAATGGGCAATGCAAGGGGCAATGCAGCAGAGGAGGCCTGGTGAACGCCTAGGCAAATAATGAACGGCTGTTGTTGATGTTGGACTTGTGCCTTTATCCCAAGTAGGCGACAGACACACGTGGAGCCATTCTGCAGAAAAGTATGTTTAGACTTCAACCAACAGACCGGGGAGCCCGGCTTTAAGGGTTCAGGGCTGGTCGTTTATTTTATCAGAAATAAACTTCCTCTCCTTGGCCATTGAAATGGCGCCAATTTGGGCCTTCCCAGTTTAGGTTGGCGTGCGTGTGTCAGCCCTTGCTTCCTGTAGGTGTTTCCCCGGAGGACTTCCACATTAATATACAAACATAACACAAAAGGAAGACAAATTTACATATTTATATTCACAGGGAAGGCAATTTTTCAAGATGGGCAGGTGTGAATAAACTCTCCCTAACCGATGAATGAAAAATAAGACAGACTTAAGAAGATGACTTATATCGCATTAGCCTGTTCCTTCACCTAGCCCAGAGGCAATGGCTAACTGTTGGAGGCAGCTTGACTCTGAATGCAGTTGCTGTTGCACTCAAGTCCTGCTATAGGCTCCTGATTGGTCACTTTGAGTACAGGATGCTCTCCCAGTGGGAGAATGAAATAGCAAGCCAAGAAGTGTTTCTTGAAATTCATTACAAGATGGAGCGAGTTTGCACGGAAGACAATAGCCCTTATAGTTACCACTCCATTTTTTCCTCCAGAGCAGGCAATCCAAACACAATACAGGAGAAATTGTTGACATCTCTGGAAAGGGCTATAGCTCACTGGTTCAAGGGACAAATAAATAATGATACTCTGGTTCAGCCCACAAGCCAAAGTTTCCATAGCTCAGTTGCTTTGCATGCAGAAGGTCCATGGTTCAATCCCCGGTATCTCAATGTAGGGCTGGGAGGGAATCCCTCACTGAAATCCTGGAGAGTTGCTGGCCACTCAGCATAGACAATACTGGGCTAGATGGACCAATGGTCTGACACAGTATAAGGCAGGTTCCTATGATGCCTCAAATGGCTAGTTCTCATTAAATGTCTCTCAGCCAGTAACCATTTTGCAATGCATAATCCCTACCTTAGGAAGCCGTTGCTGCTCAGCATGGGTCCAAGGGAAGATCTGTTTGCCAGGTCTTTCTCTTTGGCAGAAAAGTCTTAAATGGGATAGTGTGCTGCAACAGAATGTACACAAAAATTAGGGTAGATTTTAGGAAATCATATCCTGACCTACAACCACTTTGCAGGGTAGTTTATAAAGAATTAAAATTATAATAAAAGCAATTGAACAAAACAAAATCACATATTTATCTCCTGCTAAATATAGTCTTTAAGTGGTTTACAAAATATCTATCTATCTATCTATCTATCTATCTATCTATCTATCTATCTATCTATCATCTATCATCTATCTATTGTATTTTAATTTTTTTGAAGATAATCTTTATTGATTTTATGATTACATACTATACATATACACATTACATTTACATTTACTCCTAAGAGTTGACTTCCCTCCTTCCTTCTTCTGGCTTTTTTATGTCATCTCTAAGTTTTCCGCATTGTCTATCATCTATCTATTGTAGTGGTTAGAGTGTAGACCAGGGTTCGAATCCCCTCTTGGCCATGATGCTTACTGGATGACCTTGGGCCAGTCACTGCCTCTTAGCCTCACAGGGTTGTTCTGGGGATTAAGTGAGGAAGAGAAGAACCATGAATCCCACCACGAGCTCCTTGTTATATTTTTCTCCAGTGAAACTGAGAAACTGCAATACAAAACAATGCAATAAAACATCAATACGCCTCGCCCCAAAAGAACATAGCTGCACATTTGAAACACCTTCATAGTCAAGGATTTTTCTCCTCAGCCTCCCTCCTACCAAGGCATATCCCACCTCAGAAAGGAACCCCTCGCCATATGCATCACACCCAAACTTGGCCTTATGTCTGCACAAATCAAATCACGCCTGCTACTCATGCAATTCACTCATCCCATTCTGCCACCAGTACACCCAAACACAGCACCGTTTGCTCCATTATCTCCCAGTCAGCCACCAGCAACCACTCAACAACAAAAAATGCACTGTAGGAACGCCCCAAGGGTGTCCTGCCAAAACATTCGCCGACAGAACTGTGTACATGACAAGGCAAATTGCTACCCATCAGTCACACGAAAATACTGTTCCTGACAGCAGTCTGGGTTTTACCCCAAGACGCCGTCTCCCACCCAAGACTAGTTTCAACCCAACAACGGGTGGAACTGAGCACACCCCTCTCCCTGCTGCTCCTTCCCTCTCGCCAAGGAGTGCCCTCAGGAAATTCCACCCACCCAAGAGGCATGCCAAAGAATAAAACCTGACAAAAGTACCCTCGCCATGGCTGCCAGACCTCTTTGCCTCCGTGGTGCTGGTTTTGTAGTTCTCCGGAATGGATGGGAATAATCAGTCAGAGACAACTGGGGTCCCAAAGCTATGTCCCACTTGAGGCCTGCCAAGCCTCTGTAACATGGGGGACAATGACAACTACTTTTGCAAAAAAAAAAAATACAAAACTAAATAAATAAACTGTCTTAATGCTGCAACCTGCCCTGGATAGAAAATGGGCATCCTACAGGGAACTGCTGTACTTTACAGGGGAGCAGGGACCCAAAGTGAAATCAATGGAAAATGTAAGACGCCAAGTTCTTCCATATGTGGCAGTCTTGTAAAAGGGTAAAAAAGAGTATTGGGAAATGATCCATAATGAATTGGGGGGAAAAATGTTTAAAAGCACTTTCCCCCCAAAAAACCAAAGTCCTTTCTGTTGGGGATAATTCAGACTGAATTTTCCAGGTGTCAAAAAAGGTTATTTATGTATGCCACTACTGAGGCCCGTGTTTAATTAGCCCCAAAATGGAAAACGATCGAGGTCCCGACTAAAGAAGAATGGTAACTTAAATTGACAGAGTATGTGTGGCTTGCAGATTTTACAAATTAGAATAAGAGGACAAGAAGAACATATGTTTAGAGAAGATTGGAAAATGTGGATAATGGCTCTCGTGAGAGTGTGGAAGAACATATCATAACCAGGCCATTGGCCCATCTAGTCCAGTGAGCGGTGGCATAACACAAAATGGCTGCCGTGAGGCGTGGCAGGACTCAAAATGGCTGCTGCATCTTAAAGAGCAGGAAAGGAGGGAGGACCACAAAATGGTGTAAACAGCCCAAATTAATGAGGAAAAGGCACTTACTTCAGTCACTGCTCCCTCACAGAGAGCAGCTCTTTCTCCCCTCTCCTCTGTTCAGAAATGTATTAAGGAGGCATGTTCAAGGCAGAGAAGGCCAAGCTTGTATAAGCATGAATGGAGCAGGAAGAGCAAACAGTCTCTTATGCTATGATGGTTCTCGAGGGGATATTTACTGAGGCAAATTTACTGGCAGGCACCCTGGCACACACTCTCAGGGGCACCTGTATGAATCCCAGCAGGAAACCTTTTTTTTTTTTTAAAGCTAATACTACAGCACAGTATACTGGGACACGGGTGGCGCTGTGGGTTAAACCAGAGCCTAGGACTTGCCGATCAGAAGGTCGGCGGTTTGAATCCCCGCCACGGCGTGAGCTCCCGTTGCTCGGTCTCAGCTCCTGCCAACCTAGCAGTTCGAAAGCACGTCAAAGTGCAAGTAGATAAATAGGTACCACTCCGGCGGGAAGGTAAACGGCTTTTCCGTGCACTGCTCTAGTTCGCCAGAAGCAGCTTAGTCCTGCTGGCCACATGACCCGGAAGCTGTAGGCCGGCTCCCTCGGCCAATAAAGCGAGATGAGCGCCGCAACCCCAGAGTCGGTCACAACTGGACCTAATGGTCAGGGGTCCCTTTACCTTACAGCGCAAAAATTGAATTCAGCGTTGTAAAAGGAACGAACAAGTGATAGATTTCCCTAAGTACAAAAAAAGTTGCACAGTACCGACACTGGCCGCCTTTTTTGCGTTCATGATGTGTGCGACATAACGGAAGTTGCGACTGGGTTTTCCAAGCCTAGATTGGAAGTTGTGCTTTTTTTTAATAATAATGTTTTATTGATTTTAACATATAAATTATAGTACATACCATGAAACGTCATCACTTATACAATCTTTTTTGGACTTCCCTCAGCAACTCTGATGACCCACCGTTTTAACCACTTCTTATGCATTTCTTGAATTCATATTGCCTTTAATTATCTTAACTATCCACCCTCCCCCTTGTCCATTTTTGCAATAGTTCCAATGATTCTCCTCACAAAACTTCTTGCAAACCTACAAACATAGTTTGATCATGACAAATACTTTTCAAATAATCTGTAAATTTACTCCAGTCTTCTGTTAATCTGGTCCCGCTGATTTCGAATCTTTCCTGTTAGTTTGTCAGATTGGAAGTTGTGCTTATGCAGGAATTGACCAGGGGGCTGAGAGATGTGAGGAACCCCTTAATTCTCCTCACAAAATAATACGGTCCTCAGAGTGTTTTAGCCGTCAATCCCTCTTCCCAGGGAACTCTGGGAACTGGAGCAGTGTGAGGGGCACCCCTAAGAAACTACATTTCCCAATCTGTAAATTTATTTCTATTCCACTTTTCCTCCACGGATGTTCAAGGTAGTGTACATGGGATAATCTCCTCCCCTATTTCATCTTCGAAGCTCAGGCTTAGAGGCCATGTCTTGTCCCAAGATCGCCCAGCGAACCTCATGACTTGGGTGGAGATTTGAACACAGATCTCCCAGGTCCTAGTTCCAACACTCACTATTAGTCTGAGAGGTCATTTCCAAGAGGATTTCACAAAGATCAAAGTCCTTAAGAATTTCTACCTAATATTCATACATCTGCATTATAAATCCATTGTTTATGGGCAGCACAGAGAGAAAACAGAGAAAGATTCTCGTCCAGTAGCTTTATCCATCACCATAAAAATAATCATGGCATAATTATCTATGACTGGGAAAAGAGGAAGTCACAAAGAATCTGCAATTAATGTAGGCAGAACAGCAATGCAATCCTGTGCAAAATTACTTGGAAATCAGCTCCACTGTGTTGAAAGGGGCTTGATCCCAGGTAAGCATAGAGTTGCAGCCCAAATTACCCATTACCGTACATGCTAATGTAAGAAAATCCTGATAGCTATTTGGAGAGTGACTAATCTGTAGCAGAGAAACACCCACCCTCTACATTTCAGAGTTTTCTATTCTTCAGTTCTGCACACTTATACAGATCAGTTTGCAAATATTACTTTTAAAACTCCTGATAAAAATTCACCAGCGTTTTAACTCTGGATTTCTCCTAATGCAGGGGTGCCAAACTCAAATTCATCGGGGGCCGCATCAGCAGTTTGATCACCCTCAAAGGGCCGGTTGTATCTGTAGGAGGTTTCCTGAATGCATGTAAAGTGGAGGTTTCCTGTGTAGAACGGCCGGCACCGCTAGAGGGCAGACGTTCTCCGGCTTGCAGGCTGCCGTGCATGCGCTGAAGAGGCGGTTTTCTTGTGTCAAAACAAAAAAAGCGAGAAAAAAAGGTGAAGGCTGGCGGCCGGCGGCGGCTACACGGGCCACATGATGAGGGCCTTGTGTTTGACACCCGTGTCCTAATGCAACACATTTTTGCATTCAGTTTTGCCAACACACCTTTTTTCAAAGCAAAAGTCCTGATATAATGCATATTGGTATATTTTCACCATTTTTATGCACACCTTACCGTAGCTAGCCTATACATTCTTGCACATAAATATTACTTGGCCGGAGAATTGGAATTGCATTGTGAAAGCTTAAGGGAAAAATTCAAAGGATGACCGTTTCAGTTCGTGGATTGGTTTGGAAAACTTGAAGCTTCTAAGTTCTCCTTGAAATGCCAACAGAATCAAATTTGCCTCCCATCCGTGTGTATCTAATTTTCTTCACGTGGTCAATTTGCAAAGAGCAGCAGGAACCTTGGGAGAACTTCAGAAGCAGATGCTGCCACCAGCTGGTCTGGATGTTGGTTACATCACCACCCTTTGCAAAGAACTCGGTGGTGAAATATTATTCTGACAAACCTCAACCTATTCCCCCCTTCCTACAGAATAGTTACCACTTAGCAGAAAAGGTGGTTTCAGCAGATTTAACTTTTGTGTTCTGTGTTGCAAGGAAGCCCATGGACAACTGCAGATGATACTGCTGCTTCATGGGTGGAGGAAACCGCCCTGTACCAAGTCAATTAGCCAAACTTATCATGTTATTGCCGAACCTGCCTGGCAGAGTGATGGAGGTTTTTCCTGCCATTTGCTACCAAATCTTTTTTTAACTGACAATACCAGGGATGGAGCACGGGACCTCCTCTACCACAAAGGGACTATTTGGTTTGCAAGGTAGGTTCAGTGTTTCATCCATTTTTAGGCACTTTATGTAATAATTATATACTATGTCACTAACCTTATTTTGCAGCTAAAACAGGCACTGCCCGTATGGCAAATTCATGCTTTCGCCACACGGAAAGGAGCAACATCTTTTTGATGGTCAAATTCCACCCAAATGTATATTTATTTAAATATGGATGGGGAGCATAAAAGGGATCATAAGTCAACTCACTCATTTTTTTATAGAAATTTCTAGAAAAGAAAAGGGAAAGGAATTGAGGCAGCAGATTGCATCCACAGTATTTAATTTGTTTGAATAATATAGTTACAGATAAACAAGTTCACTCCATATACAGTTACTTGGACTTTTTTTTTATACAGTTCATATTCCAATACATTAATACTTTTTTATTATTTACACAGTACTTATGTACATGGTCTTTCTAAATTCAGTGCATTGTCAATAAGTTTTTATACAATAATTTACAAAGTGAATGTGGTTAAGAGTTAACTTAATAAATTTCCCTGTTAAATTTAGGAATTAATTTAATTTTTGTTTCTCCTTAAAAATAATAATTAAGAATCGATGTAACAAAGCATGGCAGATTTTTAAAATGGCATTAGTAGATCGTTTCAGTGACAAGAGAAGTTCTGAAAGGAAAGTTAATCTGAAGACGAGTTCGGAGGAGTTTGTAAAAGGAAAAACAGATTGGGGTGTCTCAAAATAGTCTTGAATCCAGAAACTCCGCCAGTTTGGAAGGCTTGGTTTTCTCCAACCTCACTGCCCTGCGGAAAATAAATTTAGGAGCAATACCCTGTGAACATTACCAGCAGGGGCAGCACCTACCCAAGCCATCAAAGTGTTATTACCGGGTGCTCAATAATCGCCCCACCCCACCTTTGGCAAAGCTTAAACCTAATTGTTAGAAATTACTGGACTGAGGAATGGTGTCCATCAAAAAGATCAACGCCTGAACAAGGGCCAAATTTAGCTTCTAAAGAAATGGACTTTCCAAAGAGTCAAGTCAGATACTCGCCCACTGCCAGAGCTCCTAAGGTGGAGGATGTCCCTGACTCTATACAGAGGTTGTAGCCATGAGTCATGAATTCATGCCATCTCCCCTGATCCTGGTTGGCAGAGGTGTCAAGGCATCCCACAAACATGTCAGTGTGTAGGACAGGACCCTATGTGAAATGCCAGCGCCACCACATGACTTGACATGTGATATTGACATGGGGTGGGGAACCTATGGCCCTTCCAGGTGTTTCCGGACCCCGACCCCCATCAGCCAGCATGGCCAATGTTCAGGGCTGATACGGAGCCAAGGGCCACAGGTTCCCTACTCCTGGTCATAAAGATTTCAGACGGTCTCAAAACATCCCCCCCCCCGCAAGTGCATGCAGGGACGCAGCTAGCAGCCCCACACTGTATCTGTCGGAAAGTTGCACGGGCTCAAGAAAAGCAACTTCAAAAAAAAAGTTTCTAAACCCTGAAAGCTCAATCAAAGAGGAGACAGGGAAGCAAAAGCTGTGCCTTGATAGTGATTAAGCTAAATGATTCTGTTTCATGGTAGGAGTGGCAGGTAGAAAAGCATCTTGCAAATAAATAATGCGACTTTTGGCCAAGTTCCCACTGAATTGTGTCTAGGCTGCTCAGATGACTGAATATAACTCGATGGAAAAATAAAATTAAAAAATCCTCTACTTCGAAATCTAGCTTTTCAGGGACAAATGTGTTTGTTTAGCTTTCTCCCTGACCTGCAACTTTTCCAAGTGCGTTTGTTTTGTCCACAGGAGCCATTCAGTCATCAGAGTCCCTGCTTGAAATTTGAAGTGGTACAGGCCAAACACAAGTTCAGCAGTTCAGCAAAAGCTAGGCTTTTTGTTGTTGTTCCAGTTTATAAATTAACACCCAAACCCTGACACTGCCTGCTTATTCCAACAAATTAAGGAGTTACAACCCTGTTTTAAGTTCATGAGTTATCTTATTCAACAATGTTCTTTAGAGGGGTGCTTTGGAAGAGCAAGAGAATTCAGATGAAGATAATGGCAGAGTCACTTGGGCTCCCAGACTAGGGGACCAATTACTAAAGGTCTTACTTCTGATTCAAGCACCTTTCTTCACAGATATTTCTGGACGAAAAGGCGTTCTGATGCAGATCTCTTTTTTTGCAACTCTTCCTACAAATGAACTCCATTGGTGGGACAACAGACTTGGCTTTCAAAAGTTGTAAATTAATGCCAACCTTATTACAGGAAGAAATGGGGCACTATTTTTCTTTCCAGGTCATGGGATGGAGCAGGGAAGCATGCCTAGGTTTGCTTGCAGATTGGATAAACTTCAATATTAAAACCGTAATAGCTACCCAAGCAGGATTTCTTGCTCTTTAAGCAAAAGAGGTGACCTCATCCTTCACTCCAAAAACACTTGGCAGTAATAAAATTAACTTATGTCTGAGTTTTAATTATCCTTTCCTTTCATTTAAAGTGCAATTTAATTAAAAACACAACACACACACAACTATTTCACACTGCTCACAAACTTGAATCTGGGGGGCAATTTTCTAGGGTCTAAAGGCCAGAGCAGAAGAAATGCCTGTGAACTCTTAACCATGGTGGAGAGGTTGGAAGATGGGGGCAGAGCAACCTCTCATTCCCCTCTCCACTCACCCCTTGCCCAACATAAATTCCACAAGCACATGGGTAAACATTGCAGCGTTCCCATCTCAACCAAGATTTAGAGATTTGTTAGTTTAGCATCCCACGTTCCCCTCCTGGAATCTCAACCATAGTTACTAGTTTACTAGTGTTATGTCTGCACCAGGCCTGAGATCTTAGGAGCAAACTTCTGTGTGACGTAGATTCTAAGATGGGGCACTAGTGGGCCCATATGCATGTTCAAACTTTCACATAAGGCAGGAGGGCAGCTCACACACTGATGCCAGGAAAAGCTAAGGGCCTCCTGCCTTCAGACTGGGGATGGATGCCAAATAATCCCCCTGTTCTCTCCCCACTTTTTCATGAGTAGGATGGCATGATATCAGCCACAAAATCACAGAGGGGACAGGAGAAATTCCCCTCCAAGCCATTCTGACAGCACACGGCTGAAAGCACAGGAGAAATTCACCCATCCAATAGGGTGGAACTGACATAGCCAAAAGCCAAGAAACAAACCAAACTGAGACCAGTGGGGTTAAGAACGGAAAAGGCAGGAAATTCCCTAAGCCATGATGTTTGCTCCTCTGTGCAGGTCGCCTATCCTGGGCTTTCCTTATCTTGCCACTAAAAAAAATGGAAAAAAACTTCAGAAAAAGGAGGTAGCAAATTCATGTTGTCTACAGACAACACTACAAGTTCAATCGTCTTAAATCTGAAGAGAGCATCCAAAAGGGTTGGTTTTCTTCTTCTTCTTTCTATGGGTAATTTGTTTTTGTTTTAAAAATGGGGGGAGGGAAGCAAACACCTTTCTATTACTCTGGGCCAGCTTTTATTTGGGCTACTTACAACTTAAGCTTTCTTGGTCCTAGTTTGCTTACATCAAACCAGTTTAAAAGCCAAAGGTAAAAAAAAGGAAATCCAACCAATGGGTGCTATTCCCCCCCCCTCTCCCCGCCCAATGTGTATGGAGAGATCTGAACAAAAACACAAAAAAACCCGAAGCTATCTCAACCTGTGAGCTGCTATGTAATTAGGGGTTCTTTCTTTCTCTTTTCTTCTAGTTGTGCTTTCAGATCATGAGAGGAAAATAAAAAAATAAAAACTACGTTTAGCTCTTCCGCTCTGCTAAAAACCACTTTTTTTTTCTTTTTTTTGCCAAACGGGAGGCGACTTTTCAAGGGCGCTTCCTCACAGCGGTCCGCGGCACCTCCCCTGGCTTGCGCTCACTGCAGCACGCAGTACTTCTTGTAGTCGGACTCAAAGTCTTCGTCCATGCTGCTCGTGTCTGCCATGTTCTTGCCGTCTATCTTTGGCAGAAATTGTGCATAGTCCACTCCTTGCTGCTCGTAGAAAAGGATGTAGGCGGAGTCCGTGTCGATTTCATCAGGATGCAATTCCTGGAAGAGGAAGAGGAGGAGGGGATGCTCATTTTGTTCCAGCAAAGAACCCCGGTTTTTTTTTTTAAAGTGCTCTTCTAAAAATTAAGCTGGGCACACCACAAGTTTGGAAACTGCAGAATCTCAACCATCCCTGCCCCTGAGGCTAGTGTCATGGACTGGCTGGATGCCAAGGAGAGAACCCCCAGGGGAAGACTGCTCAGAGCCAGGGGATTGGTGGTGGGACAACGATGAGTGGTCAGAGGGAGGACAGTGAAGAGGTAACAAGAGAAGAGGTTTGTGATCTTTCTACAGGTCTAGTGTGGTATACAAATTTAGTAAGAATCAGGGTTTAGTGAGCAGGAAGAAGCTGTGGCAGAGGACAGTCCAGAATCAGAAGGCTGGAGAGGAGGCAGAATGAAGAAGCCAGGGAGTCTCCCCCTCCTGCTGCACTTGCTCCCCTTGAAGAAGTATGAAGAGGGCATAGCAAAGAGAGACAAGACGAAGAAGCCTCAGGTTGCTGGGGAAAGACCCAGAGGAGGAGTCTTAGAGAGCAACAGGAAGGCAGGGACCTTCAGTCCTCACAACTACCTCATTGTGGAAATACCTACTGGGAAGAGTTGCTTTGACCGCTAGGCTTGCATTGTTTAAGTTTCTTTGAATAAAGAGTTAACATCTCTGACACCAGGTGTTTTATTAATCTGAATCATCCGAACTACAGGAAAATGAGCTCCCTCTACATACAGTCCCACATGGGTCAGAGCAGCCGCCTCTTATGCCTGGCCATCATTGCGACTGCCCTCACATTCTCTCTTAAGGAAGGCAAAGAAGATTACCTTACAGCTGCTGTCATTGTAACAGTACCACTTGCTGTTGGGGTTTTTGGCGTAAGTGACGTAATGACCTCCTCCCATAATTCCTGAATGGCACTGGAAGGGGAGGAAAAAGCAGTTTTGTATTGCTGGCCCAATCAACAAGGTTGTAGCAGTAGTCAGTGTTGTTCTATATTTATTTACACACACACACCCCTTTGCCCCTGACAGGTTACCCCAATGCTGGTGGTCCTCCATATGTTGTGGGACACCCAACTCCCATCAGCCCCAGCCAGCATGGCCAATGGTCAGGGACAGTCAGAGCTGAAGTCCAGCAACAACTGAAAGGCGTCAGGTTCCCCAACTCTGGCACAGGCAATAAGTGTTCCTCAACTTCCATTAGCTCACACCATCTGATGAATTTTGCATCATTTCATAAAGGCTCTGAGGATACAAGCTGCTAAATTGTACCTTGTCGATTCTATGCCCGCCAAGAGTCCTGCAGCACCCACATTCTACTTGACGTGCTGAAGAGAGACCTCAAAATCCCACCCCAAGCCAAGCCAAATCCTACAAGTCGTGTGAATTTTGGCAAATGAAGCACATTCAGCACCAATTTTTTATTCCTGCCACCCGCCTCATGGTGATGCCTTTCTGTCACCTTCATCCCAGCCCTTTCCTTACCCACCTCTGCCTTTTGGGCACCCTGCACAATGGCGGACTTGCCTTCTGCCCTTCTACAAAACCCAAGCTTTTAAGAAACCAGTGCAGTCTCCCACCCAAGAGTGAGTCACCTACCGAAATTGCATATAGGCTGTAGATGGGGTTAACACAGATCTCTCCTCTTTGGTCAACCACCATCTCCTCCTCCCCGTTGATGCTGCCGTTGCTGTGGGAGTTTTGCTTGCACAAGTATCCATTGGCTAAAGTCACCTCGCTGCTGTCCTGAGCGGCAAAGAGCTCGCCCTGGCTACCCCCCAAAGCATGCCCTCGGCTGAAGCCATCTCCTTGGTCGGGGGTGACCTTAGGGTCCAGGTCTGTACCGTTCTCTCGGGTCATGTCCAAGTTCTCTTTGCTGCTGGACAGTTTGTTTTTACACAGCTGGGGGAGCCGGAGCCGCCCCTTGCTTCTTCCCAAAGTCCTGGGGCTACCAGTTGGACTAACGTTTTTACTCGATGGGCAGCCAGTTGCACACTTCCGCCCGGAAGATGGAGACGCTAGAAGAAGTGAATGAGCAAGTGTGCGAGTGAGAGAAAGGGAGAGGGTGGCAAAAAGCTGAACAGACAAGACTAAATTGCCCACGTTTAATCCCCAAACAAAGCAGTGCAGTATATCTGAAGGAGCGTCTCCGCCCCCATCGTTCTGCCCGGACACTGAGGTCCAGTGCCAAGGGCCTTCTGGCGGTTCCCTCACTGCGAGAAGCCAAGTTACAGGGAAGCAGAGGGCCTTCTCGGTAGTGGCACCCGCCCTGTGGAACGCCCTCCCACCAGATGTCAAAGAGAAAAACAACTACCAGACTTTTAGAAGACATCTGAAGGCAGCCCTGTTTAGGGAAGCTTTTAATGTTTGATGCATTGCTGTATTTTAATATTTTGTTGGAAGCCGCCCAGATGGGTGGGGTATAAATAATAAATTATTGTTGTTGTTGTTGTTTGTTGTTACTAAAATTTGCTATTAACAACTTTTACATCAGTGGGTTAGGTAAAGCAGCCGGCTGCATCACACAGAGACTTCTAGGTCTTAACCAGCAAAGTTCATTAGCTCTAGCAACAGGGGTTTGCTCACCACTGTGTCTTGGTCTAGTAGCGATTATCAACCTGCTAGGTATTTAGCAACATTACATACTCCTAGATCCAGGAAAGCATTTTCAATGGTTAACTTCACCATTTATGGAAGGCCCATTTGCCAGACTATTTGAGAATTTGTTCCTGCAAAAGCAGCTCCGTCAAAATGTGAGCCCATGTACCTCTACACCGTGTATGTGTCCCAGAGCCCCAAACCAGTGACTCACACAGAGACACAGCCTGCAGCCTCTTCTAAGGGCAAGCAATTCTGCAGCATATGTCTACTTCAGGAGTGATGGAAACGACCTAATTTCACTCAGTACAGAGATGCGGCAGGATTATCTGCTCCCACCAAAGGCAGATTGGACTGGCAAGCCCAGTGCAGTGACTCATGCAGGAAAATAACAGCCAATTCTGAGGGCAGGTAATTTTGTGGGGTCCTGAAGTAGTCAAACACAGTGGCATGTGGAGATGGAGCTGAATCACCTGCCCCCAGCAGAGGCTGGTTGGACACATCTATGGCAGTATTAACCAGTCCTCCATTTTACTTCATCCAGCCCAATGCAGAGATCCCTCCCCTCTCCTACCTTTGATATTATTTAAGACGCCAGAAGTGTTGAGGGAAGAGGGGCTCCTGGTTAGCACATCGCCCTCCCCGGCCACTGGGACGCTCTGCACCTCCATCCTCAGACACTCGTCTTGCGGAATCTGGGTCTCAGAGGGATCGTCAACCTGGGGAGTCAGCGGCTTCTGCAGCCAGCAACTTGGATCTCTTGGCACCAGGAAGGCACTCGGGTTGAAGCTCTCTCGGGGAAACTTGACGATCTTTTGGGATTTTATCCAGCGGCCATTGACAAACTGGAAACGCTTCAAGTGGATTATCTAGAACAAGAGATGTGGGAGGCAGGATCAGGTCAACGCTTCAACTATTAGCATGTCTTGTCTTTTTTTTAGTTTGCAGGCCTCACGGCAGGCCTTCTCGCCGCTCTCTTAACATGAGTCACCTCCGGCGGCAATTGGTTTCATTAGAGCCGGCAAGGCAGAGGACAGGAAGACCTACAGCATGTGGGGCCAGAGCCAATGGCAGGCAAAGCCAATTAGCTCTAGTCTTGCCCCCATTCTCCTCCATGCCAAGTTCTACAAGGACAACATGGGTCTGAGGAGGAGGAAACTGACAGGCAGGGCCTCCACCGCCAGAAGGGATGTGAGTAAGAAGGCGGGGAAGTGCAGGCTGGCTGAGGGCAGAACAAGGTTGGTGGGACGCTGCCCCATTTGTGCTAATGAACCAGCCTTCAGTGTCGGCTCTGGGAGACAGTAATCATCCAGAAGTAGGAACTAAACACTACATAAAATAAAGATGGAACTCAAGTGGCCTGACCCACGAGAAGGCAGCTTCATAGGGTCAATTAAAAATGAAGAATTCTAAGAAGCAGTGTACAGCCTGGCTGTAAAAATGGAAAGGAAAAGGAGAGCCTTGAATCATACCAGGATAGGGGGAAGCCTCCACAGGTCTAGCTTCTTGGTGGCCAAGCAGTGAGTTTTGCACTTGGAACAGTAGTACATCTCATCTTCACCTAGTTCCTCCTCGCTGGTGAAGGCCCGGAGGCAACTGTCCAGGTTGATTGGCTCAGCCTGAGCGCGCCGGCTTTGCTCCACGCTCCTGTGCTCCTCGGCCATCTGAATGGGTGACAAGGCAAACACTTGAGGAATTCTGATGGCTTGTTCCTACTTAAAAACATGCTATCTCCTCTAGAAAAATGCAACCTGTGCTGTTAATAAAGATAGTGCAACTCGTACAGCACATTGGCAACAAATATTCACACAGTTGTTCAAAAATAATTTTGCACCATTTATCAAATTTGTGAGAAAGAGACAATTACTTCATCAGCACCTCACAGCTACCAGAAACAACGTTGAACTTACCCTTTTCCTGAATCTTCTTTAACTTATTTAAAAAACAAGAAAAAACGAAAAACTAAGTCAAGAATTAAGAACCTAGTAAAATCTGATACTGTAAGTTCACTTTATTTTAGCTGGTTTGTAAGTTTTCATGGCACTTTGTAAGTAATTGTCTCTTTCTCACAAATTTGATAAGTGGGGTGAAATTATTTTTGAACAACTGTGTGAATATTTGTCGCCAACGTGCTGTACGAGTTGCACCATCTCCTCTGACCCTAGCTTAGATTCCTTGTCTCCTTCCAGAGAAAGATCTCTTAACAATGTACACTGCTTTGCTTCACAGCCTGCATTAGCCTTTATAATAATAATAATAATAATAATAATAATAATAATAATAATAATAGTAATAGTAATAATAAAGATGGAGCGAGTTTTGTGGAAGGAGAACCTCATGACACATAAGCACCACCTTCATTTTCGGAAGGAGAACCTATAGACAGGGACAGTAGCTCAGTGGCAAAGTGAATGCATGTCTAGTAGGAGGTGCCAAGTTCAATGCCCAGCATCTCTAGGCAGGGCAGTGAAATCCTGTCATTAATCCTGGGCAGCTGCTGCCAGTCAGTGTAGTCAATACCAAAATACTTGGATTAATGGTCTGGCCCAGTACAGAGCAGCTTCCCAAGCAGTAACACGCTTTCTTTGGGGAGGGGTGAAGTGCACTGTAGGCAGAGTCTGTTGTGTTGCATCCTGCTACCAAGTGAATTTTATCAATTCTTAGCTTTTAAGATTGTTTGATTTTAATGTTTTTCTATTCCCCACTTTGGGACCTCTGGGTGAAGGCCGGTTCATAAATGTCAGAAATAAAATGAAATAAAACTCCTTGACCACATGCCATTTCAGACTGCAGGTGAAGCAATGCTCCTTTCATATTGGAAGAACAAGGGGTCCCTAACCACAGAAACACAGGTGTCAGGGTGAAGGGTATTTGACTCACTTCCCCCAGTCTTAATTTTCTAAGCATGGGGAGTTATGGTTTCCCCTAGAATGGAAGAAAAAAAACATCACATGTTCAATCTGGTGAATCCCCATTGCTAACTGAAGTGATACCAACTAGAACAGTTTTGATAACGTGATCAACTTGTTTCTGTAGACTGGTGGCTCCCAAGACCCACTAGCCTAAGGCTATCCAAGCGAATTCAGTGTGACCATGGAGATTTGAACCCGAGTCAAGTCCTGTCTGCCAAAGGGCCACACAGACTCCAATTTGCTGCTCTCTCCTTTCCGTTTGCTGCGATTCTGAGCCCCAAGTTATTCAGCCATCCCTCCACCCACTCCAGAAATCTCTGAGCAAGCAGTGAGACGAAAGAACCTTCAGAAGCAATTTCAGGCCGTTGCAGAGGCAGACAGGGTGGCCTCATGCAACGTGACAGCCAATAAAGCCTTTTGGCTAATTTTTTTTTTTAAAAAAAATCCCAGACAATGAGAGTGGCTCGCGGCCAAGGAGGCTGCAGAAGCTCCATGCTGTCAAGACAAATGCAAAAGCAGGAGCACCAAATTGATTTAATAAAACAGCCACTGCTGTAAGAGAACCTCTGGAGGAAGCTGCCTTGTGCGAAGATCACTGGCCCCACTAGCTCAATATTGCCAGTACTGACTGGCAGCAGTTCTCCAGTGTTTCTGATGGGGGTCTCTCCCAGACCTACCTGGAGTTGGCAGGGACTGAGCCTGCCTGCACCTTATGTGGTCCGCCACTGAGCCACAGCCCTGCCAAACCAGTCAAGACTTCACAAAGCACTCATAAGGAACTTGTGGCCTTTCAGCTGCTGCTGGACCACAGCTCCCATCATGCCTGATCACCGGCTATGCTGGCTGGGGCTGATGGGAGATGGAGTCCAGGTTCCCCAGCCCTGTTATAGAGGACCCGCGTCAGCAGGGCCAGGAGAAGTTTTGTACTTGTGTGGCCTATTTCAACCCAACATGGGAAACTCTCTGATGCCGCCACTGAGTTCCATCATGAAGAAGGACACAGACTCGGTGGTAGAGCATCTGTTCTGCATACAGAAGGCCCCTGGTTCAACCCATAGCATTGGGTTGGGAAAAGGAGCTTGTATGGAAACCTGGGGAGCCACTGCAGACAATACTGACCTAGGTGGACCAATAGTTTGGCTCAGTGTAAGGCAGCTTCCTGCGTTCACATGCTTTCAAATATATTGTACCACCCATAAGGGCTAGGAACTTGGCTTTCACGTGAAAAGAAAATCTGGAACCAATGCAGATTGGTGACTGCAGATGTGAGAAGGGCATTGCCTGCTATACGTACAAGCTTTACAGGCTGAAGGTCCCAGGTCCAATCTTTGGCACCTCCAGGTTGAGGAAAGAGCCCTGCCTGGGACACTGGAGAGTTGCTGCCAGCCAGTGTTGGCAATACTGGAGTTAGGTGGATCAGTGGTCTGATTTGGTGCAAGGCAGTTTCCTACGTTTCTAAGGAAAGTAGGAATATCCAAGTAATGCATCTTAAACTGAATTTCCTCCCACCCTTGTGGTTAGTTTTTAATGCATGGAATTTTAAGTAGGATTTTTTTTCTTTTATTGTGTTTATGTGTTTCAGTGGTTTCATTATCATTTATTGCTGCTTCAGTTTTTGAAAGTTGTTTTCATTTATTTCTTGTATTGCATAACTTATTTAATGTGTAATCATGCCACTGCATTTTACAGATGCAATTGCTTTATTGTATTGTGAAATGGCTTTGAGATGCTTCATAGGAAGATGAATAACAGCAACAGCAATGCTAGTGCTCACTGGGGGGAAATAACCTCATTTTTGATGCTATTAGCTATCCTGGTGGGGATTTGGAATGTGGGGTATGCATCCTAAAAACAAAAACTTACCCAAAAAACAACAGCACACAAACACACAAGCAAAGAATCACACAGCAAAACAAGCAAACGGGTGTACAAAGACACAACACATCTGGGCACTAAACCAGCTAGAAGGATCAGATACTAGAACTCTGCTACCTGACCACCGAGATGACCTCAGAGGATGATCTAAGCATCTGTGCAGGTTGGTATGGGGAAGGAAGCACTAAATACACAATTCCGTGGGCTAGAGCAGAGCAGCATTTCCACTTTCAGCAGCAAAAACATCCAGAACTCACTTGTTTATTTAAAAAGACAGCCACATGCATTGTCAGAAAGAACACATATACGTATATCTGCTTAGGGTTATTTTGCAATTATAGATATATATTTACCCGTTCCTGTGACGTCTGGTAGCGGAGATGAAGTGCCGTGGGATCCCAGTCAACAGCGATGTTGGCATTCCCCATGTGAGCTCTCTCTTCAGTGCAGTCGATTTTACAGCCATGGCAAAACCTAGATTGGGGGTGGGGAAGAAGGAGGAGGCAGTGAGCAGAGAAGAGGGGGTGGGAAACTCTCCCTAAAGCTGACAAGGGCTGAAAATGCAAAAGATGGGCAGTTAATCTGGACAGGACAGGTGTGGGCTGCTTTAGGTTAAGATTCATCAGTGGCAGAGCCACCTGTCTGGCATGGAAGAAGTCCCTGGTTCAATCCCTGGCATCTCCAGGCAGGGCAGGGAGGAACCCTTATCTGAAACTCTGGAAAGCCATTTCCAATGTAAATTCTGAGCTACATGAACCTACAGTTCTGGTTCTGTATAAGGCAGCTTTCTAAGCTCCTATTTAAATTAAACATCATGAGGACTAGAATCTTACTTTAGGCTCAGCGTCAGATCGTGTGCTCTGATGGCATAAAGTCCCAGGTTCAAGTTCTGGCATCTCCAGGCAGGCCTGAAGCCCTGGAGAGCTGTTACCAGTGAAGACAATACTGAGCTAGATGGAGCAGTGATCTGACTTTCCAAATTCCTAATCCAGCACAATGCAAACAGATTTGGGACATGCTGTAAACACAGCAGTTCAGTACACAGATATTGTGAAGGTGATTAACATGGCCAAGTTGGTCTTCACAGATCCGCCTGTTTTTAGAGATACAAGGGGCCACCCTAACAAAGGCGGTAAAGGAAAGCAGAGTGTGAGGCTGACGGAGGGGAGGGGCTCTTCCTTCAGCCAAAGAACGACAGATTTCTAATTGGACCTGATGAAACACCCACTTTTTTTACTTGCCAAGTGGCCACCCTATGCTTACCTGTACCAGGGGCACCAAGCACACGAATTGCCGTCCTTCTGGACCACTCGTAGGGTGAAAGGGTATTGGTATCCCATGCTGTCATCACTTTAAATAAATAAATGAACAGACAAACACGATTATTTTTAACATGCAGAAGTTTTTTTTAATGATAAGTCTTTCCCTAGCTTTATCTTCTAAGCTTGTCATACCCCCCCAGATATTTTGGGCACCAGCTCCTGCCAGCAGGGTCAATGGTCGGGGGGGTAATGGGAGCTATAGTTGGAAACACTGGAGGGTACCAGGTTAGATTCTAAGCCACTCCAATGCCAAAGTATTTGAAGATGAAATACAGCTCTCTTCCCCCACCTCCTGCATTTTTTCCTTCAGTGTGGTGTAGTGGTTAAGAGCGGTAGTCACGTAATCTGGGTAACCGGGTTCGCGTCTCCGCTCCTCCACATGCAGCTGCTGGGTGACCTTGGGCAAGTCACACTTCTTTGAAGTCTCTCAGCCCCACTCACCTCACAGAGTGTTTGTTGTGGGGGAGGAAGGGAAAGGAGAATGTTAGCCGCTTTGAGACTCCTTAAAGGGAGTGAAAGGCGGGATATCAAATCCAAACTCTTCTTCTTCTTCTTCTTCTTCTTCTTCTCAACCATCCTGAGGTGGATTGGGCTAAAGTGTGTGACTGGTCCAAAGTAATCTACTGAGCTACCAGACTGAGGTTCTGCCAAGTACCTGAGGTTGTCATTTGTCCCAAAATAAGGCAAAACCTTCACAACTAATTCATTTTAATAATCTTTCCCCCAGCAATTTTGGGAGGAAGATTTAAAGGCATTCCTTATGAAAATTACACCTGCCTATGTGATAGAGTGTTAGGAACCAGTAGAAGTGCTATTCCTGTGTAATATTTCTAGAAATAAAAGAACCAGACTGGTTCACCCATTCCTTGTGCTCCCTTCTCAGCACGATCTTCAGAGTTTTAAGGTCTTCCTGGCTAACAGATGATACACAATCTCACAGAATCGAAACAGTTGCAAAGTTTGCATTTCCAAGCTAGATAGACTCAGTAAGCAATTTTTCACAGAATTGTTAAGGGGCACTCATTTCAATTTGGTCTTAATAGTGTTCAATATTTTTAAGAAGGAAAAATATACAGTTGGCAGGCTCCCTGGTATTTTTCAGCTTTCTTTCGCACTCTGGAACCTGAAGGCCTGTGGACTTTATTTATAAACTTGAACTGAGCAAGGATTTGGGTCTGGGTTTTCCCAGTCCAAGACCCAATGTCTCATTGCACCAAAGACTGGCATGCTGGCTTAAGACGTCAGAGCCCCGCAGAGACATTTTGGTGGCTAGATCACCCGCTCCTCCTTTGAGACATCCTGGCATTTAACTCACCAGTCCTGTGCGTGGTTACTGGCTTCTTGGGGAGGGAGGGGACTTGCCAGCCGGGATACCTGGATCCAGACCGCATCATACAAGTCTTTCTTCCGCGTATGAACGGTGCACGGAACTATCAGTGGCATTCCAAAGAGGCTCGGCCGGTTCTTCTGAGATGAAAGGAAGTACTTGTCCATCCTCATCTGCATTGATCATTAAAAGGGTTTTTTAAAAAGAAGAAGAAAAAGATTCATTTTAATAATACGATATAATTTTTTCACTTTTCAGAAGGGCCACCATCATAGCAGGGAACTACTGTATTTTTCCATGTATAACATGCCCCTATGTTTTTGGGGGGTTAATTGCCAAAGCTGTTGAGCTTTTTTTTAGGGGGCGGGGAGATTGCACAGAGTTGTTGAGCTTTTTGGGGGGGTCTACGCCACCAATCGTCTGCACGCTCGCCGCCAAAACCCCACCATCACACTCAACGCCAACCAAAGCCGATTGCGCACACAACAAAATGACTTTTCCCACCTAAATGAGCTTGCCACACTAGCCAGGAGGGAACTTGTGTGTGGAAGCATCATGAGCTCAGTTCATTTCAGGTACTGAAAACAAATTCCAGATCAGAACGTGCTCAGAGCCACTGTGGTTCTTTAATTCTAATCGTATGTCTGTTGCACCTGGCTCTGGTTTGTAGAGAGCTTGGGATTCTGATAAAAAGCCAGGTAGATACAACAGACCCTAATTGTATTCCTTTTGTGGCTGGATTGGGAGTTGTAGTAGATCTGACAAGCTTGCCCACCCCTGGTCTACACCACTGGGTCACAGTTCTCTAAGGTTTCAGACAAGTCTTTCCCAGCCCTCCTTTGGAGTTCCCAAGGACTGAATCTGTGACCTTCTGCAGACATCTACCATACTGGAAAATGGCAGGCGCATGAACACCAGTTAAGTGTCTTAGCTGCATTCATTCCCCACTAACCATTTTCCTGTGGACAGCAATGATGTAGCCTATGAAGGGGCTGTCGGAGGGAGAGGTCACATGGCCATTCACCATCCCATTGGAGAAGCCGTTTTCCATCCTGCATGGCACCACTGTGTTTGGCATCCCATTCGGGATCAGGGTTGGCCTGGGAAGATCGCCATTCATCAGTACGTTGATCATCCCGTTGGCTGACGGCACGCTGCAGAACTCTGAACCCAAGGGCAAAGGTGTTGGTTACGGGTTTCCACTGACTGCAACTATACTTATAAAATCCATGCAGGGACATTTTACCTGTTTGCACAGGGCTTGGAGTAGCTGACGTGGGGGATCCAGGGATTGGTACCTCAAATGCACACAGGGATGCGCTTGCCGAGAGACGGACTTTCTGGTTGTCTTGAGGAAAGTTCTTTCGAAAGCAAGAGAAAGAGACAGAGAGGGAGAGAGAGAACCCCAGTGAGGCTAATAAAAACCCACAAGTTTAATTGGATTGCTTAACCATAATTATTCTGTTTTTTAAACAAAGTTTGCTGTTGGTCTTAATGTCCTGTAAATCTCTTAGAAGCCAACTGGGCATTAAATGGCATATAAATTAAATAATGGGTTGTGGTCAGTGCTCATTCTACTCAAGCAGACCTATTGGAAATAATGGACATCACTAGCTTGGGTCCATTAATTTCAATAGGTCTATTATGAGTAAAACTTAGTTGGATACAAAGATGGGGAACTTGTGAAGTGTAACTCCATCCCTGTGTTCTCTGGGGCTGGTGGGAGCTGGAGTCTGACATAATCTATGATTGGAGTGGAGGGTGCAGGCGGCAATAACCCCTGTCTTAAGAAAGATGAAGTCACTGTTCTTAGGCTGGTTTCATCTTGTGGGGGGGAGGGGAATTAAAAAGTGCATTTTTGAAAGCCCCGAGCAGCAAAAGCATCCTGACCTTTATGTTGGAGCTGTGCACCTCTGCAAGGAGGATCTGCTCTGGCTTCATGGCACAAAGTTCGCTGAGGTGCTTTTTCAGGCCAGTGTATTTCTCGTCCATGTTCAGCCTCAGTCCGTATCGAATGGGAGTTGTCCCATCTAGCTTAGTTACTGGGAGAGCAAAATAAAAAGGGGGGGTAAGTGGGAGAAAGAAAAGGCAACAGGTTTGAAAAAATCCAGTTTAACCAGCCCAGTTCTGTTTAACTGGCTGTTCGGTTTTTTTAAAAAGTGCTATTTCTGCTAGAGAACCAGGTAAGTGCTCGTTGATTATTAGATTGCAACTTTTGACTAATATCCAAGGCTGGGCATACTCAGTGCATCAGCTGCACACTGATTCTTGGGTATCCTGAGAAACCCAGATTTCATCCAGGGCAGTGGTGGAGGCACCAAAAAAACCTTCTAACTTATGTAACCTGGTAGAAAGCATTAAAGATCCACAGAGAAGCAGAATTTTTAAAGATCTGTCCCCCCAACCCACTCAAGGTCAGTTTCTCCAGCTGCTTGAAGTTTGCTCTGTTGACCTCGGTTCCCTGTACATGTTCAAGGAATGAAAGTCACCGTGAAGAATACCTGGAAGGGTTCCTTTCTAAGACTCTATAGGGAGAGTTCTGTATGATTCAAAGTAGACCAGAATATCTAACAGTTCGTATTTTTCTTCTTTTTCTAAAACTGCATATTTCCTTTTTCGGATACTCAAACCATTAAAAACAAAAATCCAACCTGTACAATATCGTTAGTTTCTGTTTGCAAGTTTCAAAGTCCCAGGATGACAGTACAAGCAACACTACATGTGTCTATAAACACACATATTGTCTGATTAAAGTGATAAAATCATGTAACTCAGGCTGTAATCTTACACTCAAGGTACATGGGAGAAAGCTGCATTTAACTTAATTGAGTATACATGTGAAGGACAGCATTGTCAGGCTTGCAAAGGTTGATTAACATATGAATAATCTGTTTTCTTTATGTTTAACCTGTGATTCATTCCACAGCTTTTGGCAGTTCTCATCCCTTTTGAGTTTTAGGAATACTCTTTCTCTTCCCCCACCCCCAATATATGTGTTTTATATAAGCTCAAGTATTAAACATTTACATTGTAGTTTTCTGCTAGAAATATCAAAATGTAGGAAAATTGGGATTTGGACTGGGAAGATGCCCATTTTAAATTTCAAAGGAACTTTAACACAACACTGAAGGAACAGTGAACTTAATGGCAATTACTTCCGAACGCATGGGTTCAAGTACTACAACTCCTGGGGTTGGATTCTAAATTAGCTGCACTTAAGTCCAACTGATTTCAGTAGGGAGAAAGCCATGACTATCTTTTTCGAAGCTACAAACATGAGTCTGACCAAACTGCGGGAGGCAGTGGAAGACAGAAGTGCCTGGCGTGCTCTGGTCCATGGGGTCACGAAGAGTCGGACACGACTAAACGACTAAACAACAACAACAACAATCTTTCTCCAGTTGATTTCAAAAGAAGACAATCAAAATTGTCTTAGTCTGGATCCAGCCCAATGAGCTTCCCCCCAAAAAGGGATCTTTTTTTCAACCAGCCACTGCAGAGTGATAATAATAATAATAATAATAATAATAATAATAATAATAATAATAATAATTTATTTATACCCCGCCCATCTGGCTGGGTTTCCCCAGCCACTCTGGGCGGCTTCCAAAAGAATATTAAAATACTGTGATACATCAAACATTAAAAGCTTCCCTAAACAGGGCTGCCTTCAGATGTCTTCTAAAAGTCTGGTAGTTGTTGTTCTCTTTGACATCTGATGGGAGGGCGTTCCACAGGGAGGGCGCCACTACCGAGAAGGCCCTCTGCCTGGTTCCCTGTAACTTGGCTTCTCGCAGTGAGGGAACCGCCAGAAGGCCCTCGGTGCTGGACCTCAGTGTCCGGGTAGAACAATGGAGGTGGAGACGCTCCTTCAGGTATACTGGACCGAGGCCGTTTAGGGATGATATCTGGGGTCCCAAGCAGTATAGAACTTAGTACAACAGAACCAACAACTTGCAGCCAGTGCAATTCTTTCAGCAATGGTGGAACATGGTGGTGAGAATCAGTCCCAATGAGCAGTCAAACCACTGCATTTTAGGTTGTAAGTCCCTCTGGGCCTCATACCTGCCCATAAAGCACAGTGTACATAGAATCTTCACCCACCTATGATTTCAACATGCATGTAGCTGTCCATTGGGAGGGGCAAAGATAAAAAATTGAAAGGGTCAAAGCGGACGCTGATGTGCCCACAGGTCTTGCACTTCACTTGGGACCTCAGCTGCCCATGGAACAAGTCCACCACTATTGAGCGGTTCCTCCTCAGGTGGTTCTCCCAGGCCTGAAACAAAAGGAGAAAATAAAACCTGTGCAGAGAAGTCGGTAGAACAAGGAGATCTATGCCCAATACTTTCACAGCGGTCTGGGAACCTGAGGGCATCCAGTGAAGGGTGGACTCCAACTTTGTTTGTCCCCAACCTGTGGCCAATGCTGGCTGGGGCCGATGGACACTGGAGGGCACTGGGCTGCCCATAGCTGGTCTTGGTGCAAATACGACACGAGGGAGATTTTGGGGCTCCCAGGTTTGCTATAACATGCTAATCTGCCCACCTAGCTGTGAGGCAGTCCTCACACTGGTGTCAGCCTCTCGGTGGGGTGTATCACTCCAGTCTGCAGGTACAGGCGCATGGAAGGATCAATAAATGCTTGGGTCAATAAATGAACAAATCCTTGCACATAGAAATCGAGGTGTGTGTGAGAAAGTTCTATTTTTCTAAATGCAGGGTTTTAAAAAGAAGACAGTAGTACCTCAGGTGACATACTCTTCAGGTTACATACGCTTCAGGTTACACACTCCGCTAACCCTGAAATGGTGCTTCAGGTTAAGAACTTTGCTTCAGGATGAGAACAGAAATCGGGCTCCGGCGACGCGGCAGCAGCAGGAGGCCCCATTAGCTAAAGTGGTGCTTCAGGTTAAGAACAGTTTCAGGTTAAGAACAGACCTCCGGAACGAATTAAATACTTAACCTGAGGTACCACTGTATATCGGTTACAAAGAAGCATTTCATCATGTGAAATTGCCCTGCAGATTGAAGCTGTACAGCTCACTGGCTGACCACCTGATGGTGGACTAAGCTGGTATGAAGCTGGTATGAAGCTGGTATGAAGTTCAGAAGAACTACAGCACCTCCTCTGCAGGGAGGGCACCCATGCAAAAGCCCAATTTGATCAAAATCGCCCAATGAGTTGTATGTCAGAGAATGAGGCCCCCAAGCCCTAAAACTCATTATACTATTTACTGCATAAACAACAACAACCCCACTGCAGCCTGTGCTGGTGGCTAAGACCTATTAAAGGACTCCATCTACCAGGGGCTTTCCTTTTGCTCACCAGCTGCCCCATAACGCAGTAATACACCTGAGAGTATTCACTGCTTTGTTTCAGCACGTGTGCGCGTGCACAAACCCACACCACCCTGCTGTATCTTCACATCCATCCACAAGTCAATTAAGGGGGCCTGCTGAAGTAGGTCGAGGATCCACACCAAGGGCAGCTGGTCCTATTTAGCCCTGCTGGCCCATTCCAACACCTCAATTCTTCTTAATGCATTTAAGGAACACTCCAGGAGGAAGCACAGCAGCAACGGCAGAGGGAGGCCCTCATCTCAGCTCCACCATCCTCACAGGCATTCTTTGGCAGAGATGCAAGAGAGGGCCTTTTGGGTGACTGCCCCCAGACTTTGAACTCACTCCCTAGAGAAACTAGACTGGCTCCCTCCTTGCTTTCCTTCTGCCAGCAGGTGAAGACTTTCGCGTTGCAACAGGAAACTGACTGCTTTTAATGAAAGGGCTGTTGCCATGCTGTTTTTATTGTAATTATGTGTATGGTTTTTATAGATTTTATATATGAGTTCTATCAATGTTTAATTGTTTTTTAACTATTGCTTTTTCTATGTTTTTAGTGGTTCTTATTTTTATCTGTAAGCTGCCTTGAATCCTGCCATGGGAAAAGGCAGGGGATAAATAAATACAATAATAATAATTACAATTCCTCAAACCAGCACAGGAAAAGGCCATGGATTGGTGGAGAGGAGGAAGCACAGCATGCAGAGGCCCAGCACACACTCACCTCCGCTGCCACCTCCCAATCCGGCCGGCCGTCACTGTCTTTCAGTTCAACATACGGCTTATCGTGCACTCGGTTCAGGTCCTCATGGAGACCATCCAGAAGAAAAGCCAAGAGCTCCTGAGAGTCTTGCTGCTGGAAGCCATTAAATCTGGGAGCGTATTTAGCTATCGTCCACTGAAAGAAAGCAAAACACACAAGTCACTGGCCTTGACTGCAGCCCCTTACTGACTACTAATCCACAGATTCTCAGCAATACAATCAGTGATAAAGGCAAGGGCTATGCACCACTTTAAACTAGGCTGGAACAGCTAAAAGCCTGGGAGCTTAAAAGGCAGATTAGTGGAAGCAGCCGGAGAAAAATAAAGGCAGCCACTTGGTGGCAGCAGTGATGTTGGGGAGGAGGCAGGGGTTGGTTTGCCTAGTTTGTTTGCCCCCACGGACCCTCTCATGGTGCAGGCTGCGGCCCCACCTTGTAATTAGTTTGCAGATGAATATACGACAACACTTGTCAGTTCTCACCCGTAACTTTAAAGGAGCAATGTTCTTTTGTGTCCCGCTCCACAGCTCTTGAATCAAATCCCCGTAGCATTTGGCCATATGTCCCTTCATTCCTATTGGATTTGTCCTGGAACGCATAATGATGAATTGAGTCAATTAGCCATTTGTTGCATTGAAAAAAAGAAAGAAAGGAAAAGCACGCTGAGAGGCGCTCCACACACTGCACAAAATGAGAGGGCGGAATCCTGGCGTGTGCCACAGCAGACGAACAGAAGGGGTAACACTTTTAAGGCATGGCTGTAAGCTTCCAGCATGGCAAGAGAGGGACTAGAGGGGGGAACAATGTGGCAGCCCGACAGATGTTGCCGGACTACAATTCCCATCATCCCCAGCAACCAGCATGATGGGACTTGTAATGTAACATCTGGAAGGCACCACTTTTCCGTGTGATATACAGAAGTTACCTGTTGAGCTCGTAGAGATGTCTGCCAGAGATGAAATACTGGGTGAGAGGCTGCGTGTTGCTGACACACTGGATGCTGGAGTTCATGAAGCAGGTGTTCCCCAGGTTGCTCAAGCCAGTCGCCCCCTTTTCCGTTGGAACTGGAAAGGATGAAGGGTTGAAAGATGATAGTACTCCTTGCTGCTTGATGTAAATGTGTACACACACACACACACACACACACACACACACAATTTAAATTCCCCACAATGCTCCGGAGGGATGCTACGCTGGGAGCTTTGTGGAAATAAAAATGGCTGACCATTGGTGGGAAAGTATTCTGTTTGTGGGCTGTAGGCATCAGCCCAAGGCTGATGGGACCCAAGGCTGTCTGGTATTCATGCCTTCTCCCCTGGCTTACACTGGAAGCACGCTTGTTTTCTCTTGTTCACGTAACTTTAAACAACTTTCCTACTTTGGGTGGGACATATAGGTCAAAGTCACCTGAATGTGCTCTATAGTCAGATGACAAACTGATATCAATTACAAACTCTTTTTATGTTGGGAAGAAAGGTACAGTGGTGCCTCGCAAGACGAAATTAATCCGTTCCACGAGTCTCTTCGTCTTGCGGTTTTTTTGTCTTGCAAAGCACGGCTATTAGCGGCTTAGCGGCTATTAGCGGCTATTAACGGCTTAGCGGCTTTAAGAAAAAGGAAACAAACTCGCAAGAACTCGCAAGACGTTTTGTCTTGCGAAGCAAGCCCATAGGGAAATTCGTCTTGCGGAACGACTCAAAAGACGGAAAACCCTTTCGTCTAGCGAGTTTTTCGTCTTGTGGGGCATTCGTCTTGTGGGGCACCACTGTACACTAGCCTGCATATAAGTGATTTAAGGCTACGCATGCACACGCCTATGCAGTAATATTTTTAAAGAAATAAACTCTAGGGGAGAAAGGCGAAAGAAGAGCAGCTGTGTCCAAAACTGTGCTGTGCGGAAACAGATTCCCGCTATTTGTGTCTAGCCTCTTTTTACTAAAAGGGCTGTAAGCCCTGCAATGTCGGACAGGGATGGGTGTCGCTTCTGAACTTCCTGCATTTTTAGTTTAAAAGAACAAGGCACAGAAGGTATCAGTCTAGGCTACAATTCCCAAATCTGCTAGCTTTCTACCTGCAGGCTGCCTTTCCTTTTAAAAAAAGGTAGCATCTAGAAATATGAATCACCATCTGAGGCAATTCAGCCCAGTCTATAACCTCAGGGCTCCAATCACCTCGTTTCAATGCATGTGTCAACCAGCTGCTGATATTTTTTGTTTCTTTGGACAGGGGAAAGCACACACTTACCCTTATGCCTGTCTATTTTACTGCTGTTTGCTATAAAGGACATCTCCTCTGGCCAGCTCATGTCTTTGTTTCGAACTGAAAAACACAGAACAAAGCTTAGTGGGAATAAACGCTCCCCTCAAATTCATGATACAGCCGATCCAGTAATAGGCAGCTGCTAACATTTACAGCAAGAGTTGGGAGCCTCTCTGAAGGTTCTCCTATACAAGAGCTGTGCAGGGGTAGCCAACTTGCAGACCCATCACATGTTGTTGGACTCCAAGTCCCATTGGCCACAACGAGCACGGCCAATGCTCAGGGATGAGGCGAATTGTAGCCACAGCTGGAGGGCACCAGGTTAGCTATGTCTGCTATAAAGGCACCTGACAAACAGATCCTCATTCGGCCATGAGAAATCTTTACACTTCCATTGTGGAAGAATGTTTATTAACCAAACCCTGGTTTCAATAATAGTCCATTGGATTTGGCTCACTAGAAAGGTTACAGTGCCACCGAAAGTAAGTAAGTAAATGCTTGTTTGTTTGTTTGGTTTGTTTGTTTGTTTGATTGATTAAAATTTGTACACAGCCCTTCATCCGAAGATTACAGAGCAGTTTGCAACATAAAACTACAACATGAGAATACAAAATATGTCATAAAAACAAGAACAAACCAACAGCCCCGCTCCCACATTAGCACAGAATGATTTGGTGGGGGGGGGGCAACCACTTTCCTTGGTGAGTGAGCCCATGCCTCTATTAAGCCCAAGCTTGGCAAGATGAAAGCTGCAAGTGAATCCCAACTCAACAGCTTCATGCTGGAGTCTCCCTTGGGAATGTTTTTGCTGAAGGATGACAACCCATGGAGCAAACCTGTGGGGCTCTTTCCTGGATTCCTGAGCCTTCTGGCCTCCCATTTCTACTTACGGCCATTTCTACCTTCTGCCTGTAGCCAAGTTATCTGACAAATGAGGATAAATATCACTGTGCCTGGCCAAGTGCGCTCTGGCTCATAAGAGCTTATGCCAAAAGAAATTATTTAGGCTTCAAGGTGGCATTTAAATCAAAAGATTTTGCTAAGTACAAAGCATACAGACTTCTTAAAGACATAAGACACGAAGCATAGGGGGGATTATGTACAGTATATATTAATATGGCTTATTGAAAGGGAGGCAGTAGAACAGAAAGCCTGCGAAATGTATAGTAGTTGGCATAAACAAGGAAGTATTTGGTTAACAGGAGTCTGAAAACACTTTGTGCCACAGAAACTGGCTCCAGACTGCTTCCCCATTTCTTATACCTTCTATTATTAAGTGCTGCTCATCTTGGATGCTCAGGTATTCCAACGTGTGGTCCTCATCGTCCAGAAGAGTAAGGTAGTTCTGCAAAGACAGGGGAAAGGGAAGAGCAGCCTTTCAGTTCTTGGTTAATAATAATAATAATAATAATAATAATAATAATAATAATAATTTTATTATTTGTACGCCGCCCATCTGGCTGGGTTTCCCCAGCCACTCTGGGCAGCTTCCAACAAAGATGAAAGATACACTAAGAGCAGGTGTGGAGAACCTGTGGCCCTCCAGGATCCAGAAAGGCCACAGTTTTCTCACCCCTGTTTTTCTCCGCAGAGGTTGATATCCTGGGAACAAGATGCTGGAATAAAAAACCCCACACAGGATTCTGCGTGCACTCGGCTAATCCCAGTGGCTGCCTGCAACCGTGGATGCTTGGACATTAGGAGGGTCACAGATTCAGTCTGAGGCATACCTAGAGGGGACCTTGCACGCTCAGGTGCAGCTAAAATTGAAAGCCCAAAACCATGGCGCTTGAAGTGGGGGAGAGGCAAGTACAGCATGAAAAGGGTGCCTGATGCAGAGTGTGGTCCTTTCCCTGCCAATTTAGTAAGCCAAACCACAACTGAGCTTTTGTAATTGTGGGCAGCCTCCCTGAATTGAGCCACTGTCCGTGGGCAAAGCACTGAGCTCAGTGTCTGACCCAGGATAGCAAATCTCAGAAATAAACGCCTTGTTACCAATAACCTGCACACACACACACACACACACACACACACTACCCCGACTTTCCAACCAGGTTATCTTCCAGTCTTTGAATGTAAAACTTGGTGTGATTTTCTGGGCCTTACCTCGCTGTTGTAGAGCCACAAGCGCATGTCCTCCTCTTTTATCCGTAGCCGCTGTGACAGATACTCATGGATCTCCTTAATCGTCTGCATGCGGCTAAAGCAGCCAGTGTAGGCCAGGACCCTCTTTAAGGGAGCGCTGGGAGATGGGACATTCCCTGCATTCACAAGACGACAAATGGTTTATACATATGGGCAGCAAAAACAGAGAAGACGGCCTTAAACTGAGTGCCCCAGGGATGGGGAACCTGTGTGACTCCAGACACAGTTGGCCTCCAGCTCTCAACACTCCTGGCCATTGGCTGCACTGGCTGGGCTGATGGGAGTCCAACAACATCTGCAGGCCCACAAGCTCCCTAGTTCCTGGTGTACAAAAGGTGTTTCCTTAGGCTTGTTTGGGTTTGCTGGCATATTAGGACTGGTTCAGAGAGCCGCCTTCTCTACTTACATCACCAAGGCTTAAATAGGAGAGGAGGCAGAACGCACACAGAGACAGAATGGCCAGGTGAGCAGGAGCCCTTGTAGTGCGTAAGGCATGCAACCATCCTCGGTCAACAGAGGGTTCAAGACACCCACAAGTGACCACCTGTGACAGGTGTGGGGAACCTTCTGCCCTCCAGAGGGTTCTGGGTGGGAGGTGTAGCTCAGCCACATCTGGAGGGCCAAAGGCCCCAGATACCCGATGCCTGGGACACCTCCACACATACAAATCAGATGTTCTTAATTTGGATTGAAAGTTCTTTGTGCTGCAAGTCGCTTTGGGTCTCTCTGTGAGAAAAGAGGCAAATATAACAATTAAGATAAAATTTTATCTGCCTGTATCCCTGGTTAGTCATCCTACTTCCACTGGCACCAATTGCAGTTAATGCTAACAGGGGTTCACCTTCAAATCGGATTGAGAGCCAAGCCAGGTCTGCGCTAACCATAGTTGGTTCTGGTGCAGCAACTAACCACGATTAAAAGCCAGAGAGGATTCACAGGCAAGAGAAGAGACATCACAAGACTGTGGTGACCCCTTAAAGGATCCCTTACCTAGACAATTCTGTCTCTGTGTTTCCCCCTCAAATTATCTTTGCAGGAGCAATAGATCAAAGCAATAGATCCTACCCAGGGGAAAATATACGTTTGCACTTACAAATCATCATACTTTTAGACTGATCAGCCCTCTCTAACCCGATGCCCTAAAAATATTTTGGGCTACAACTTCCATGAGTCCCATAGCAGCATTGCCAACAGTCAGGGGTGATGGGATTTGTAGTCCAGCAGCATCTCAAGAGCTGTTTCAGATGGTGGACCACCTTAGACAATTCCTCTTTGATATAACTAAGAGCCAGACACCAAACGTTTTTGCATGCAGTTGTGCCCAAAGAGCAAAATTTAAACAGCAATTTTGTTTTACGTCAGCAAACCATCTATTTTCTCTCCACACACCGAGCAAAGGATTATATTTCTCCATTAACATACATACATACAAACAAAGCATTTTTCCCAGCAATTTTAAAAAAGGTGAGAGGATTAGGAATAAGATTACAGCAAGAAAGCATATTGGGGTGGGGGGCACTGAAGATTAATAGTTGATTTTAACAGTTAGTACAGAGCAAAACCAAATTCCAAATCATGACCAGATACAGCAAATTTGAAGAGGCCACAAATCTGAATCAGGGAATTTGATGTGTTCAAGGCAAAGCAGTTCCCACCACAGAATGACAAGTAAGAATTTGATGGTCAACTGGCTGACTTTTAAGCACAGCTGGTTATAGAAATCAGCCCAATTTATAAAAGAGTTGGGGGCTCATAGCAGACCCTTTCCCTTTTAGAGAGTGGAAGAACAAGCATTGAAGTTTTAGAATGAGAATTCAAGCAAACTCTTATTAAAGGCTTACTTATCATTAGAACTTTCCTCTCCATGGCCTGCCAATCTAATGCCAGCAATGGATGTGCATCGTGCCAGGACAGGGTATCTGTGGCCCTCTGGATGTTGTTGGACTACAACTCCCATCATCCTTGACCATCTGCCACACTAGCTGGGGATAATGGGAGTCATAGTTCCAAAACATCCAGGGAGCTGAGTCACAGGTTCCACACTCCTGAACCACTACTAACGTATGGGCTAGACATAGAGGGCTAATGAGGATTAAACACATTTCTCCCACTGTGGAGGTTTGTGTGTGAAAAATGAGAATCCACACTGCCAAATGCCTCTTTGAAAATGGTGCCTGCTGCAAGCTCCACACCTCCTACCCACAGCATCCTTTAAAAAGGGGTGGGTGGGTTGAATAAAATGCAACCTGGACTCTACAAATGTGAACTAGGACATTCCTGATTGCAGATTGACTTTTGGCCCCCTGCCCCCAATGGCAATAACTGCTCACAAGTGGGGGGTGGGAGCAGGCTGCAAAAGGGTACTGAATAATTTCATGTCCTTTGATAAAAATGGTAAAATGCCCAGTGAGTTTCAGTGAAAACGTTCCTCACAAATTCAACCTATTGTATATTACTAGTAAAGACAACATTTATCAGTGTTCTAACAAGGTTTTTAAAGTGTATGCTTCCTTCCAACTCTTCAATGTATTTGCATTGAGGCTGATGGGTGTTTTAACTATACTTTCCACAGAAGAACTGCTGGCCCTTCAGATGCTGTTGGACTACAACTCCCATCATTCCTGACCACTGGCCATGCTGGGTTGGGGCTGATGAGAGTTGGAGTGCCACCATGTCTCAAGGGCCACAGTGTTACCCAAGCCTGATTTCCTCAAATGCTCAAAATCCATACAACTGATCAGTTAGGGTGCCTTTAAACCGGGTCAACAGCTTATTTACTATACATTTTCACCTGTACAGATTGTTTCCATCTGTACCTCATCATTTAGAGGGGGAAAGAAATGGCTTCTAATGTCTCATGACCTTTGATAAGAGTTTTTTGTTTTGCTTTAAACCATCCCTTTGGAAGCGGGAAGGAGTTTCCGTCACCAGCCCCGCTTTGGAAGATTTCATTTAAGATCATTTACAAGCAGTGCCGCAGCAAAGCCGTTGAAGTCTGGGCGGTGGGGCCGGCCTCCCTTCGGACACTACGCAGCTGGCTTCTTGCTGTATTCTTACGTTACCTCTCGGCAAATGTTGAGGAAACATCCTCAGGCTCATCATACCCATGTTCACCCAGATGTTGGACTGCTGCGTCCGGGTGGCAGGCTGCTGCCTCAGGAAGAGCAGGTAGCGCGGGAAGAGCTCCAACTCAGGCAGGTTGGTGTCGTTGTTTCTGATCACCTGGGGAGGGGAGGAAGAGTGTTCCCAGTTGAGAGGTTGGCAAGATTACCTTCTATGCAATCTATGTGGGGCTGCCATTGAAAACTTCAACTGGTCCAAGTTACTGCAGCAGTCAGATTACAGTCGTACCTTGGAAGTCGAATGGAATCCGTTCCAGAAGTCCATTCGACTTCCAAAACGTTCGGAAACCAAAGCGAAGCTTTTGACTGGCGGCAGAAAGCTCCTGCAGCCAATCGGAAGCCGTGGAACCCCCGTCGGATGTTCGGGTTCCAAAGAACGTTCGCAAACTGGAACACTCATTTCTGGGTTGCAGCGTTTAGGAGCCAAAACGTCCAAGTACCAAGGCGTCCAGTATCTAAGGTATGACAGTACTGGCTGGCGATCTGTTTAGATTTCATATAGCCCTGGGTTGAACCAGCTGCACTGATTCCCAGTTAATTTCTGGGGCCAACCCAGGAAGCTCATGTCAGTACTTAAAACCTCGAACAACTCAGGCTAAATTGACCCTCTCGGTTATTCCACTGCCCTCAGAAGCTCAGGGGATGGCGGCCGAGTAGCACAGCGTTACTCTTGATTCTGGATGGCAACTTCTCTCAGCCTTGCCCAAAATATTGAGGAACCTGGAACTTTCTACACACAGAGACTGAGATCTTCCTGGTGCACTATTCCCCCTTTTACTTATTTGTGGCATTGGCATACTGCCCAATTAACCTTGTCGTCTGGACAGTTAACCAAGAGCACACTGGCTAAATGCACTCCTGAAGCTTGGCTGGCACACACAAAATCTGGCCTGTTTCAGGTCATGAAAGACGCTCGTTTCCATGGAGAATGTGTGGGAGATGTTTAGTGCTGAATCTGGGCTTTGTCAAGCTTTGGAGTTAACAGCCAGCAGACAGAAGCTTGAGCAGGCTGGCTGCATCCTTTTCTTAATAATCAGTGAAACCATTTGTCCAGCTCTATGTAATACCCACCCCCAAACCCCCACCAAAAAAAACCCCAACAGAAGCAATACAAAAACCTGTTTAGGAAACCATTGCTCCCTGATTTAAAACTGGCACACATCACACATCAAAATAACCCATAAACCAGGGGTAGGGAACAGGACCCAATGGATGGGCTAGGTCCTGAGCATCTTCATTCCAACTGCTACTTTGACCAACCTGTCAATCACCTGGTATAAGGGAACCCAACGTCAAAGGAAAGAATCGGGAGCCAGGTCTAGGCCAGGCTGAAAAGGATGCCAGTAGAGGAGTTCCCAAGTGGAACCAATCCCAGTAGGGCTTGCAATTGGCTGCAAATGTAGAAATATATAAGCCCCACTTGCCATCAGGTGTCGTTAAGACTCTCAATTGTCCTGTCTTCACTTGTCACACCTGGCATCGTATATGATGGTGGAGATGAATCAAAAGGGGGGGAACCTCATGGAGGTAAAATTAGGACCTCTGGTTGACATATGAGGGTGTCATCACAAACTCCAGATATAGTTTGACCCTTGTGCTATAAATCCCCTACACAATAAACCACCTAAGAGATTTTTAAAACGCTTATTCCCCGCTCCACACAAATTAAACTGAAGAGAGCCAAAATATACTGATTGAACTTCACAGCTCTGACTGAATTGGAAACTGTATAAATAGTAAAATGCTATTTTTCCCGTTAAAAACATCCCGCAAAAGCTTCATCAATGGTCAGAGACACTGAGAACAAGGTGGCATGAATGAATGTGAGCAGCTGGGCCAGGCTAATTGGAGAACTCGAGGACACTGGCCCTTTTCAGTACTTACTGGTCTCGGCAAAGACAGGTTTGCGCCGTACCAATGGTAAAGAGCCCTCCATACTGGTTCTGGGACCATTTCATAACTCTTCCCTTGAATTAACTGAGGAGACTGCTTTAAACGACCGCCTTCCAGAGTCAACGATGGAGCCTTCAAAAAAAAGGGGGGGGGGCAATGTCAGACTTTGAGCACTTCAAAACTGCCAAGCCTAAAAGGGTACAAACTTTGGACTAAATGAAGCAAATGATTGCTGGAACACTTGCTAACAGGTGAGCTATCTTTTGTGTGATTATCGCATTTCACATAACCATCATCATTATCATCAGTGCTTCTACATATTTGCTCATCATAGCAAATCTGCCCCTGAGCTGCAATGAGCAACCATTCTCTCTCCTAACCTTATTAATTTTGCTAAAATATTTTTTACCATGCTCTGCAGCCAAAAAAGGGCTTCCCAGAGCAGCCTGCATTGATCAGTAATGAAACAACCCCTGTTCCGGCTGACAACTGAAAAGGCGTGGCATGAAAGGAAAAGTGAAAGGGAAGGAGGAGGAAAATAACAAACTCGGGCATTAGTTGCTAACTTACAAACCCATATTCTTTCTTGCAAGGAGGGGCAAAGCTTCCAGCAATTGTTCCTTCCTTGCCCAATGGATGGAGCCAGGATGCTCTCTTTCTACCCTCACCCCCAAACCTTAATGTTCTCTCTGAGAGGTAGGGAGAGCAGCCTCCCAGTGTATGCTGGTCCCCTGCCTGGTGGCAGAGTGTACTGCCCTTCAGTTCTGGAGCTGCAGAAGTGGACAGGGATCATTGCAGCAATTATACGGAGATCCCCAACGCTCTCCCCAAGGTTAAAAGGAAGGTTGGCTGGTGCATTGCCAAGGCATGCAGAGCACCCAAAGCAGCAATCCCCTTGCTTCCCATTGCTGTAGCACCTGGAATGCTTCAATTTCCCAGGGCCAACTCAAACCTGGCAACCACAGTTTGGGGCTTCACTAGCAAGACCAGCCAAGGGTTGTAGACCCACGTGAGTGCCAACTGTCACTCAAAGCACACGTCACTCCAGCTGGTTTATCAGCTACAGCCATTCTTGGACCATGAGAGTTTGGCTTCAGTGAGCCATGCAACTGATAATCTCCTGGACTGATTACTGCAAGGTGCTCTACATGGGGCTGCCCTTGAAAATGGCTACAACTGGGACAGCAGCCTGGTTGTTCAGTAGGAATATGCCAACACAACACAGAACGATACGCAGATTAAACTAGAATTTGTGACAAAGAAAGGCGTATGGGAAGTCACTCAGATATTTCCTAACACCGCCAACGCCATTACCTTTGTTGGGTCTTGCGTTACGAGGGGCTGGTTATCAATCGCTCCAGGCCGCTGTGGATTGAGCTGCAGCAAAATGTTCCCATTGGATCCAAGCAGGCACTGATTGTTGTTGTCCGAAGAGTTAAGCTGACGGGAAAAGCATATCTCGGCACTAGGAGGCAGGGTGTAAAGGAAATCTGGAAGGGGAGACACAAAGAGAGGACAGAAACAATCCTTTTTGCGGAGTTATAGGTAGAACACCGGTCAATCAGCATGCCCAGTTAAAGAGAGGCAGGTGAGATTCAAAGTAAAACAACTCGTTTGGAAAAAGGAATGGGAACTCCCAATTGGATTAAGGCCTTTAAAATACCTGACTCTATTTTTGACCCCCAAATTATTCAAAGCTACGCCTGCAAAATGACAGCTTGAATCTTTTATGTTGTCCAACCTTGATCACCACACAAATTTATATGTTGTTAGACTTCTTGGGGCAGGGACCTGTCCTCTTGTGCTTTGTACAGTGCCAGGCACATTGGGCATTATCTAGCCAGACAGATCATACTCCTGCTATGTCACCTGGTGATGCTCTGCTCCCAACTCCCATCAGCCCCAGTTTCTATGGCCAATAAGGATGAGGGGTGAGTCTAGCAGCATATGGAGGGTCACAGGTTCCCCACTCCTGCTCTAAATGCCCGGCCTTTATTTGTTGAAGTTACTTTGTGGTTCTGAAATGTTAGCTGCTGTGGCTCTGTTGTGCTGGCTGTAGCATACGAAAATAAGTAGGGCCTGCTGGATTAGTCCAAAGCCCCATCCAAGCCAGCCTGATGCTCACAGGAGTGAGATGCGCCATACCAAAGTAGCTATCAAGCCTGGTCAGACAGGACTTGACAGTCTGGGAATCAACTCAGTTTGCTCTTGAACAATGAATGGGTCATATTGAGGAAGCCAGGCTGGAGTAAGCAGCTTCATAGGATGAGGCACAACTCTACTGGCCCACTGGAACAAGGATGGGGAACCTTTCTGATCCTCCAGATGTGGCCTGACTACAACTCGCATTACCCCAGTCTTAAGGCCATGCTGGCTGGGGCTGATGGGAGTTGGAGTCCAGAAACAGCAGGAGGGCTGCAGGCTTCACATCCCTGACTTACTGCTTCAAATACGCTGTTGACGCATCTAAATTCAAACCACTTTTAAAACATTTTTTAAAAATTAAGTTAATGCTTACTGCTAGCAGTCTCTGAGGCTTCTGATGCAGTAGAAATGCTATCTGAAAACTTTTCTTCTGTGGCACTGAAGTAATTTAAACGGCCTGTTTTGTCTTCTCCCTGCTCTGGCGCATGGGCTGCAGCACCCGGGAGCGAGTTCTTACCTCTGCTTAAGACAGACGAAGGTTCGATCACAACAGGGCTAGCATCCTAAAATTAGAAGAGAGAAATGGAATTGAATTGCAGGGTGAGGCTCTAGCAGATACAAAGCATTTTAATTGGGAGTCCTAAGGCTTAAAGAGATGTAACTGGAAAACATTTTGCATAACTGACCATTTCACCACCCAACGTATCAAGCAAATTCAATTCAGTTTTCTTTTTTGGGGGGACAGGGGTGATTTTCAAGTTGCTAGCCCCTCATAATAATGAAGAATGGCTTAACAAGGTAAGGGCCACATCAACTGAAGGATGTGCCAATGGATAAACTAGGCTGTAGGAAGGCAGAGAAGCATTTGTGAACAAAGCAACCCTGCTGGAATGGACCAAAGGCTCATCTAGTCCAATACAAACCATCATGTAAAGTGTTCATTGACAGCATTATCCTCATAAATTTGTGCAACCCACTTTTAAAGCAGCCCAGATGAGGGGTCATCACTATGCCTTGTGGCAGCGTAGACAATATGAAGCTAGACTGACCAGTGGCCTGATTTAGTGTAAGGGTCTTACTGGAAATGTTGGGGATTGGACCTGCAGTCTAAACATAGAAGGGCATGATCTCTATTTCTTAGCTACATTCACGAGGACCAGAAGCTGAACATCTTAAAAATGGAGACTGCAAACGGAAGCAAAAAGCCGTTGAGAACTGGCAGAATGCTTTCACCCAAAGACTGGCAAACAGGGCAGAAAAAGAAGAGTCTGAAATGAGTCTGAAAGCTTATTGGGACTTCAGAGCAAAAATCTGGGAGAACGCACTGGTGGTTTTGGAAAACAAATGGCTCTCTAATGGAGCTGGGGGTGGGGCACTTTACTTGCCATCTCCCCTGCACACATAATGTTTACTAATTAGCTGACTGATTAAATACAATCTCTTCCACTCCCCCAATCCAAAACAAATGTTTCACTCACGTAGTTGACATATTCTTTCCACTGCTGCCACCAAGGCATCGCAATAAGAAACCAGTTGTGTCCTTGCTGAAGGCCATATCTACTTTCTCGTTCTAACCAGCCCCTAGGTCAAGAAAAACAAACCAAAACAGATCAGAATAATATGCAATAATAAACAACCATATGGTGCTTTCATGTGTTCAAGTGCGGTAGGAGGTGACTATTATCCCCATATTGCAAATGAGGGGACTGAGGCTGAGAGAGAGTGTGGGCAGCGGGGAGGCATACCTGATGATTTGTCCTTCCTCTTCTGGAGTGGCAGGCCTTAGACCTAAGACTATATGGCACACCTGGGGACAAAAAGGAAGAAGACAGGTCAATTTAAAGCAAGAATAGCAAGTCTGGAGAAGAGGAATGATTAGCAGAGGTATAGCTAACACCTACTCCTGAATATGCTTGAATACATATTATGTATTGGCAGAAGGATGTTGACCACTGCTTCCAATAGTTCCTTGTTTCTTTGATAGCTTCCCACTCATGAATCTTGTGCTCCTTTCTCTTCTCTTTACTGCTGTAATTTAGCACTGGATCCTGCTCCCCAGTCCATTTCTAGTTTGGGAAACGTCACTGCTGAGTAAGGACTTCCTTTCTCCATGTTGATCATTTTTCTGGAGTTTGGGGCCCCCACGCCCGGTTTGATTTCCCCCCTCTTCACTCCTGAACTGAGAAGGGCCGTGACATTGGGAGGGGACATGTATATGGGGCATATGTGATCCAACTTTTTTACCTCACGTCATCCAATTTTCTTAATATTTTGTACACTTGCTGAACAATCAAAACTATGTTTAAATCTTAAAAAAAAAACATTATCTCATCCCGTTTGTGAATTATGAGGGTTTGAAATGTCAAAAAATTGACAATTTTGGCCTTGCCAAAAACCTTAAGAGCTCAGCCCAAAAGTGAGGTACATCAAAATGCCAATCTCTTCAGAACTTCCTGGACTTTAATATGATATGTCACCTGATGGACTCACTTTAAATTTTTTTAAGTGATTAAAAAAAATAATATGATTAACCCCCCCAAAAAAATGTATTGATTATTTAACATTTCTAAGAGCTACCTGCAAAATTTCATCTTCAGATCTCAATGGGATCATATTTAAAAAAACAAAAACAACATTTTGTACATACATGCCAGCCTTATTGGGTTCTATTTAGGATAAATGGGTCTTCTTGGAGTAAAATATAACAGAATAAGCAAGACTTCAAACTGTAGTATCAGTTACTTCCAGAATTTCTTTAGAAAGTTATTCAATTAAAACGTAACTGAAAACCTAGTTTTCTTTTAAAAATGTGTTCCAAAGCCGAGTGATAGCTTGCTGTTGCATGGCTTCTAATTTCCCATCATTTAAATCAAAGGGGTGTAAGTTCAGTTGTGGAGCACAAGGCCTGGGGTGCAGTCTCTATGACCTTCAGTTTAAAAAGCATTTCAGCAGTACACCCTGGAAAGCCACTGGACGTCAGAACAAACAATGCTCAGGCGGACGGACCAAAGGTCTGACAGAGTGAGCAGCTTCCTATTTCCTAAGAGAGCTGCCCTTGATAAGCAGATGGCTTCACTGGTGGCAGAAACATCTGGCTAAAGCATCCAAAGCTGCGAATGACTTGATTCAGAAGTCATGCCAAACCATGGTTTGCGCTGGTTTCAGAGCTGCTTTTCTTTCCCATCCTCCGACGGTTCATAAATTGACTCCTGCCTCCACACTGCAGCAACTATGATTTCTACGATGCGGATGCCAAGCCCAGCTACAGTTAGCACAGTTAGCTACAATTAACACTAGATTTACCAGCTGATTGCAAACCACAGTTTGTGCCAATCCAGGCACCACGACAAAGTACAGTTAAGATTCCTTAGCCATGCTTTAGTGCGATGTCGGAAGTCGGCCAGTGACTTCCCAACAGGGCTGGCAAAAAACGCAGACTTTAATTCACCCACCATGAGAAAGGAGGGCAAGACAATCAAGAAGCATAGTGAGATGCATGGAAGAGTCAGAGCCATTTACCGAGAGATGCATTTTAAGATACCAACATTGTATTCCACCCCTTTAGCTGGGTGATCATCAGAAGATTTACACTGTCTTCTTTATGCAGTTCTCGAGGCCACCAATTTGAATCCCAGCAGGAAACCTTTTTGGGATTTAAGTTGATACTACAGTGCAAAAATTGCATTCTGCTTTATGAATAAACAACAACAAGAGAGTCATTAGCCGGCAGGAAGCGATATAGATTTCCCTAAGCACAAAACAGCTGGCATTTTTGATGCTGGCCTTTCTTTCAAAATCATTATAAACCACACGGCTGTAGTTGCAGCTGAGTTTGCCGTGATTATTTTACAAGACGTACTGGTGGGGGTGGGGGAGTGACTTCTACTAGGAAGGAAGAATTCTTAAAATTACAGCAAGGGCAGATGGGGAGGGCTGGGTCACCTTTTCCTCCACCTCATCTGTTCCGCTAGGATGAAAATTTGCTCAGGCTGCACAGGGGCAAAACTAAAACTAAAAAATGACCCTCAAAGAGGAGTACAGTGGTACCTCGGGTTACATACGCTTCAGGTTACAGACTAACCCAGAAACATTACCTCGGGTTAAGAACTTTGCTTCAGGATGAGAACAGAAATCGCGTGGCGGCGGCATGGCAGCAGCAGGAGGCCCCATTAGCTAAAGTGGTGCTTTAGGTTAAGAACAGTTTCAGGTTAAGAACGGATCTCCGGAACGAATTAAGTACTTAACCCGAGGTACCACTGTAACAGAAATATTGTAAACACTCTGGACTACAAAAAAAGGCTTGAAAAACTCAAACTGGAGAAAGTTTGCTATGTTTCCATACAAAGATGCTTATGTGCTAAGAGCTTCTGGTGATATTCTGCTTTGCGTGCTCCCATCTTCAGAGGTGCATGGGGCAGGGGCTAGGAAGATATACTGGCCCAGTCTGCACAATACTGATCTGGGACCATGTAAATGTATGGGCTCCAGAGAGAAGCTCGCTCCCATTTTGCTCCTCCCCTGACTCCCCCCCCCCGCCCCAAGCTAAGCCAAGGTTTGGGTTCAGTGTATCATCTAAGCTGGAATGTAGTTAAGCTTTCTCCTCACTAACCATGTGCTGCGTTGGCCAAGGTTTGCAGGGTGGGGAGGGGAGAACAGCGGCTGAGAGCTCCTCTCGGGAAGCACACAAAGTCACATGATGTCAGTAAGCTGTCGCTTGGGCTTGCTAGGCCACGGGGGTGTTTTCTACACTGGTATCTTGACTTTGGAAGACCAGCTCCAGGCCGGCAGGGTGTTATATTTTAGGTGCCAATGAGCAATTGTTTTATAAATGAATAAATATCCAAGCTTTGGGGGCAGCTCTGAAATTGGTAATTCATGCTGGCCTTAATGCTGGCCGCATCTGCTCTTAGGTGGCTTTTAAAACTGAGATTAGGAAAATTAATAAACTACAGACCTATCAATGGCTATTCGTCATAAGAAGCCTCTGTTTTCAGAGACAGTAAACCAACATGTGGCTCGCGGAAGATTCCCCCTCCCTGCACTAGACCTTCCATTCTCATGCTCCATTGTATTCAATTTGCTTTATTGCAATGGATTGTTTTGTTTACGAGAGAGTGGGGAGCTATTTTGTTGTGTGTTGCCTCGAGGACCAATTATTCCTGAAAAGGTAGGATATAAATGTCTTAGAATAATGACTCTTTAATTGAGTGGCGATGGGACGGGGAGCCTGTAACATGTAGTTCTGCATGTGCTGGTGTGACACACATTCACACTTTGATTTGCAACACATTTGCAGACCAGCCAGCCAGGATTCGGAAGATTGAACCCACTTAATACAAAATGCAAGAGCTGTTATATCACTGAACACTTCTGCATTCCTGTGTGAGTCTCACTGAATTTTTCACTTTTTTAAAAATAAAAAAACCCAACAGATTGTGCTTGAAGGCATCCCAAGATGCCAGAATGCATACAAACTAAACTCGGCTTCAGTCAGGCAAGGAGAAGCATCTCCGTGAAGCTCACGCTACAGAAAAAAAGAGAGACAGGCAGGAACGCTCAGCACAAGAGCTGACGCAGCAATCGGCATCCCACAACCACAGAAAAGCAGGCAGGCAAAGCTACTTTTAATTGCTGTACAGTTGGGATTTGCAGCCTGAGTGGAACTCACCTGGAAAAGGAGATTCAGAAATTCATTGGCAAGAGCACTCTTCACACTCCAGATTTGGTAGTCTTCCAGAGTAAGGTGGCCGAGCTAAAGTAAAGAAGGAGGCAGCAAAGAGAATCTTTGAGCATTTCTCCAAGCATCTGCCCAATATTTACACACACAGAAAGAAATAATGGACATTGTAAAGTCCATTGTAAAGACCCTTCAGCCCTCCAACCTATAAAAGCCCACCAGGGGTCCCGATTTTGTCTACAAAGCAGTTTCCACCCAAACCCTGCCCATTGATACAGCTGCAAAGGAACCATCAGGAGAGAGACAGTGCACACCTGATTGTTCGTCTGCAAGCTGGGTTTACACTCGGTGCCTTTTAAATTTGATGCAAAATATAAGCCTTGTTGGAGCTAATTTCACTCAGGAGCTCCCAGAGTTTTTGAGTGCAAGCAACGCTTGCTTTTGGCATTTAATTCAGTACCAAAGGCAAGCCCCGCTTGCAGACAAACAAAGTGGGATAAGAGTCTTCTTTTACAGTCACAGCTTTAGGTTTGACAAGTGGGCTGGAAAGGAAGATATGAAGAATGTGGAGTGCCCTCTTGCTACTTCCTTTGAAGTGTGATCAGTTGACATCTCATGATATCAGGTGTCAAAAATGGCCCAGGAGTGGTTTTGCTCCCCAGCAAGATCCAGTTCCCCACTCCCTTTTTTAAAAGGGACACAATATGCAGTTTCATATAAAGGAAGGCTACTGGTGACAATACTTTCAAATGGATCTGAAAACCAAAGCAGCAATTTTTCACATTTACATAGGCCTGAAACGGACTATGGTTTCCTCCAAATAAACCTGGGAACTGCAGATCCTCAAGGCCTTATTCCAGCCATCCATATTACAAATAGTCTCTTCCACAACAACACATAACTCCTGACCCCGGGCCCTGCATTGTGCACCTCAAAACTTGCATCCTGAGCAGAGACGCAGATAGAGCCTCCTCTCAGTCTGAACAGCAACAGAGGTTTAAGCTCAGTGGTGGAACAGCTCCTTTGCAAGCATACAGCTCCAACATACAGCTCCTCTTGTAAAACATTGTTTTAAATGGAACATACTAGTACATACTTGTATATAACATATACGACTAGCACATCCTTTCTTTCATCTGATTTATGCATCTCAAAAAAGCAAGAATTCCCAAGGAGTGGGGGACCCATTAAGACTACATTCTAAAATTTATTCCAGTCACTGTTAATAACCCCTTGTTATATAACTTCCCCTTCATTCTAGGTATCTAATCCATTTGTGCAAAAACAAACTTCTCCTATCCATAACCATCAACTATACTTGGCTACTCCACTTACAGGCCATTTCCATTCTTGCAACCTACCACTGGGTTGAATTAACAGCACACACACTTATCAACTCACTACGACCCACTGTTACAGCGGCAATTGTCCATGCTTGCCGGGGCTGGTAGAAGTTGTAGTTCAGCAATAGAGCTGGAGGAGAAAAGGTTCTCTACACCTGACAGAATGGAATGGAAAAACAGACTAGCAGGCTCTTACCTTGGTAGTGTCATGTGCCTTCAAAACAGCTTCTACTATGTCCGGAAGATTCATGTGCAGCTCCTTGGGAGGGAAGAGGAAAAAGAATGACCCTAATGGACAGCTGAAGAACAAGATGTTCCAAAAGTCATTCAGCCTTCCACAGAAAAGCTGAGAAGCAAAAAATAATAATATTCTATCCACCCATTTTATGCAATCGCTGGATGATCTGAAAGTTTACAAACCTAAAAATCAGTTTCCAGTTAGCACAACAGTAAAGGCATCTCTCTTAAAAACTGATCTGCTTATGTTAAACCACTAAAATACTGGCACTCATCAAGTTTGCTCCTCTCCTTGATCCAGAGAAGGAAAAAGAAGCATTTTAGATATGCAAGCTGCAGTTCTTTTTTAAAGCCATCACTTTTTTTGCTTTGCATGCATGCAGGCAGGACATTTTAAAAGACAAAGCGACTTTTGAGTGCAAAAACTTACAGGAATGTCATCTGTACGGTTATCTTTCCAGACTTCCAAAAGGGCAACCACCATGTCTTCAAGTTCAACGCGAGACAAAATCCCGTCTCGGTCAATGTCAAAAACCTTGAAGCAAACTAAGGGAAAGAGAAGAGAGCTTGTTCTAACCAACAGCTATGCAGTCAGTTAGGATACAGTTAAGGTTCAGAGGAGGAACAGGGTTCAATGGCACAGCAACAAAGCTCAACTTGATGGAAACTTCATTCCCATTGTGAACAGGAGGGGTACCATGAGGGCAAAGGTTTAAAGGCCCCTCCCCACATTGTCCAGATATAGCTTATCCCCCACGCAATACACTGGGCCAGAATGTGTGGAAGACCAAGGTTTGTAAGCTTTGTGGAAGAGTTTTGCATGCAGAAGATCCCAGGTTAAATCCCCTGCATTTCCAGGGAGCAGTGGGAAGGCCCCCTGCCTGAAAACCTGGAGAGCAGCTGCCGGTCAGTGTTGACAATACTAAGCTGGATGGGCCAATAGTGACACTTGGTTTAAGACTGCTACCCATGTTCCTATAAAGTAAAGGAGCAGTGGAAGCAGATGGGGGGGCCTTCAGGCCTGATGGAGCCCTCTTGCGCCTTTCAGGACCTGCCCAGGTCACCCCCCCTCACTGACCCTACTCTGCACCCTCCTGTAGTGATTCAACTTTGCTGCAATGCATCCCTGAACTGTGGAAATACCTCTTGCTTGTCTGGATGGAGTGGCATGGGTCTCTGGCTACACCCACCACTGGGAGGTATCCACCCCACCCCCAAAAAAGTTGCCTACATGAGAACATGGGCTTCTGGCTGAAAAGGGTTCCCTGCCCCTAAAGCAGAACAAAGCTAGAATAATTCAGGAGAGACGCTTTTTAAGAGTGGTTTCTATGGAGGACTTTGGAAGGAGGAGGAAGAGGAACAAAGCTATTTGATGAACTGAGGAGAGACTAGAGAATGGCTTCATTTGCACAACACAGTAAGCCATAAACTATTGCTTACTGTGAACAAGCATCATGCTAGTGTGCACTGTCCCATCATTCCTCTTAGGCTCCTCCCTTAGAACAAAAGGGAGCAAAACACTGCAAACCTTGTTTTACATAAACATCCAAACCAGGGTCATGGTTTGCTTCTCGGTAAACAAACATTGGTTTCTGAAACCACAATACTGGGTTCCAGCAACACAATAAGCAACACCAGGAGAGGAGCAAAGTGGAAGCAATTGGGTAGCATGCTGTTCCTCCACATTGAGCCATAGTTTATGGCTTACCATGATGTGCAAACAGAGGCATGTAGTAGACAGAATATTCATTTCGGTCTCCATTTTTCTAAAAATCATATATTGGTATTTCCAGGACAAAGTAACATCATGCACTATACATACATGGGCGTAGGCTTCCGTGCCACAAAGAGCACAAACTGTTTGTGCTTATGAATATTTTATTGAAGAGAAATTAAAATCCACTGAAAATAAGGTTATTGCCAACCAGCAAACAAGACAGCCTCTTCTAGAGAATTGATTATAATTGGCATAAAATGAGAGAGTAACTCACAATAATATATCGGATTAATAGAGCCAGGAGACAAACAAGAATTAGCATTTAAAAGCCCTCATTTTTAAGGCTGTTACATGAGATTAAAAAGAAGAAATCTTTAGCAAGGAAGCTTGGCACTGTTTCACACATTATTAGGGTGAGCAAAGCTAGGTTTGACCACTCAACGGGGAACTACAGCTGCTATTAACTTTACAAAGACTGCATCATCCATACTTTTAGCTGTTATTTCACTCATTTAAGCCCTGCATCTCCTGTGCTTGAGTCAGCTTACAAGATCAATCACAGAAACAGCAACCACTGCATTAAAGCCCAGGAACAAATCAAACTCAGCAGACAACAAACGCTTCACAAAAGGTGGATCTTGCACCCTCTTGTGAAATGCTGTTAAGAGATGGGCTCTGGCAAACCTCTGAGAGGTCACTCCCAAGCTTCAGGGCCAGTGCTGGGAAGGCCAGGCCACATACAATGAGAGTTCAAATGGAGGCCTTAGAACAGTGGCTCCCCATTGGCTAAGTATCGCAGGCCCCTTGGTCTTCAAAAATCAAGCCATGGACCTCCTATTTTTGAAAATGTTGCTATCTTTGTGATAGTTTTTGTTATGTGAATGGTGCCACCATATTCTCCAACATGCCCCAGTGCAAAACCGGGACACGCCTCTTCAAGACTGCACTCCCGCATGAGTCACATGACCCGTGAGAGAGCGAACCGCCCAAAATAGTGTGCTTTGGGGGCGCCATGATCTCACGCAAGACACATGTCCAGCTGTGATCTCATGCATTTTTGGGCATTGTGTTCTCATGCGAGAACATGGCCCCCAAAAGGATGTCTCAGACAGTTGATGAATATGTGCCACAGATCCCCTTGGGTGGGTTAGGTAGACCACCATTGGGAACTACTGCCCTAGAAGATCTTAATTGTTGACAGGGAATATCAGCAAAAGGCAAAAGGACTAAGAGCCCAGCATCCCAGGGCTCACCGCAATCCAGCCTCCTGTTCTCACAACACCCAAATTGATGCCTATGGGAAGCCTGTAAGCAGGACCAGAGTCTCTGGAATATGTAGGTCCCAGGGTTATGAAGTACTACGAAGGTTGAACAAGTTAGAGGGCACACTTAAAAATGCAGGAAGTTCTATTTTGCATACTCACATTTCTGCCTTTCAGCCAGCGGTCCCCTGCAGCAGGCTGAGAGTCCGCAGGAGATTTCTTTGAAGTCAATGTGATTGTCACGATTTTCATCAAAGGCATTAAAAAGACCTGCCAAGTGGACAGAAGCAAAAGCAAAAGGTCAGGTTCCAACCAGCACAGAGATTAGCCTATCCCAGATAATCATATCTTGGTTTAAGAAGCCAAGATATGCACAAGCCTATTGCCCAAGCGTGCAGCTCCTTCGCAGTGTGTCTTAACAAGCCAGGAAGTCTCTCAATCAGTTTCCTGTTTCAGCTGAACTAGGAAACTTCAGTTGCCAGGCTTCAAGTTGGTTTGAGATCCTGTCTTGTTCAGAATCTGCTGGCCACAGTTTCCTGATATGGCTGAAACAGTAAACTATGGCTAAATAAGAGACTTCTTTGGATTATCAAGGCATGTTGTGAAAGGAGGAGCAAAGAGGCTGCATGTGTGAACAACAAGCTTGTGCATCTCTTACTTTAATAAGCCAAAACAGAATTATCTGCTTGTTCCATTCCTACCTCCAACATTTCAACCAAGTGTCAAATTATTCAGAGTTGCCAGGTTGCAGCTCTGACATCCCAACTTCAAAACACAGTAACAGAAAACTAGGGCAAATGAACTGCAGTGTCTTTTAAGAGCTGCCACCTGGCATCTACCTTCCATCCCATCCCTTTCCCTAATACATACCCTCACCATTTGTATGGGGCAAACTGCTCCCATCTCTCGGAGAGCAGGAAAATGACAACTCAGGAGTGGGGATGAACAAATGTGTGGACAAGAATGGTCTCAGAGAAGGAGGGGAGTCTACAGCACCCCCCCCCTTGAGATCCACTTAAACCAATGTTTTAATGAATGGTGCCCATTCCACCCTCAGCAAGCTTATTCCTCCTTCAGCAGAGGTTCTTTATGCTGCAGTGTGACACATTTAAAATACTGTCTTAATATACTTTCAAGTCCTTTTAGATTGGCTAACCTGTTAAACGCCCACCCAGAGCTTTTGAGATGGGGCAGGTTGTAAGACTGGCACTGTAGACTCCTAAAAATAAAATAAACATATAGATAACCCATGAATGTTCCATACCTTCACCCAGAGATGGATGAATGGGAGGGGAAACCAAAGGACCAAATGTTTCCAGATCAAAACGTCCTGTCCTTGATTGAGCTTTCAGAAGCCAATACCGTTTTTCAAGATCAATGATATCGGATTCTTCCACTGTGTAAAAAAAAGATGATCAAAGTCAGTTAACTGAAGATGCGGTTTTAAAGCAGAGTGTTTCATGTCAAGGAAGGAAAGGCAGACACTTTACGCAGTTTGCAAGATAAATGAAGCCAATCCAGATGCCCAGGTGACTTTAATTCTGGGGTGGAGGGATGGTTGTGTTTACAAAGCTGGCACATCACACCTGACACTTAGTGTGGTGTGAGCTTTTGCAGGCAACAGGCAACATCAGCGGCATTGTGGACTGGAAACGTGGCAGATACGGGACCCAGCAGTCCCAAGGGTCCAGTGTGAAGACAAACCACATGTGAGTGAGGATGAAAAGATTGCACTCACTATGTAATGTGCACACTGCGGGGGGGGGGGTAAGGGAGTGCTAAAAACTGAATACAATATTCAAGCTTTCAAAATCTCTGCTGGAGGATCTAATACAAAAAGAAATGCAAGACTCCACGTGGATGCCACAAAAATGGTATACAAATTAATTAAATAAAAATAACAATAAGAGTTTTCCTGGAATAATGTTGCCCAAGTAGAACGAACTCAAACTGCTCTGCCAAAACTGAGATAGGAATTCTTTATGCACACCTCAAAAAACGCTGGCAGCAGACATCCAAAAACATCACAGAATTCAACCCTCCTGCCTCTGTCCTCTATGGGAGAAGTTAGGATGTGGTGGACAAACAACTACTGGAAAAATGGCATGTGGGAGTCATCAAAAAGCTTATGTCGCACCTACTCTCCTGCCCCCAGGATTGCCCCTTTCCTATTAAACTCCTATATCACAGATAGGGTAACCTATGGTCTTCCAGATTGCTGCTGAACTACAGCTCCAATCATCCCTGACTATTGGCCATGATATCTGAGGCTGATGGGGAGCTGGAGTCCAATAAAACGTGGATGACCACTGGATCCCTATCCCTGCCCTATATGAAAAGGTGAGTGTTTCTCCATCTACTAAAACATTTCTGCCCCATTTCCCTTCTAGAGTAGAATACTGGGTGAATCGCTCCCTGTTCTAATGCCAACCCTAAAACAGCCAATTCAGGGGAGATAGCAACATTTTTTCCTGCTGAGGACCACGTACTGATGGTGGGCATGGCACCCGCTTTTCTCTCCCATTCACTCCATCCCTTAATTTTTGCCTGAGGACCAGAGCTTGCCCATCCCCAACTCTCTGTGTGTATACTTACAAGGTTCTTTAAAAAGGGGGGGGGGGCAAAGAGCCATTCTAAGGTTGGAGCTAATCTATTTGGTGGAGCATTGAATTGCCATTGTATAGTTCCTTTTCAGGCCAACCAGAAGAAGATTCACGAAACAGAGATTGAAATCCGAGCATCTCATCAATGGAGTTCCGTTGGGATTGCACCAACGCAAGTAGACGTACAGAGTTTCTCTCGTAGACTTACTTCAGAAATATTTGGACTGCTTGGCTTTGAGATACTGAGTTGCGTGAGTCATTATTATTTTGGCACTGTATATATTATTTAAGATTTTATGTGATAGAAGGTGTTGAAATACTGTACATCATTGTTAATGAGTTTTTGTAAACTACATTCAGAGTTGTTTAGTTAAGGAGTTGTAGTGCAGCAATATCCAGAGGGCCACAGATTCCCTACCCTCTGGGATACAACAATATAAAATACAAGGAAGGTAAGTTAGAGGACAAGATCAGGACATCTTCAAAGATTTTCCAGCGCCATATTTTTCACTGTCAAACATTTGAGAAAGTTACAGCAGCACCTAAGACTGGTGTACACAAAGCGCTTTGAATATCTAGTAACAAAGCTGTCTATATTAAGCATTGCCATGGGTGATCTCATTCCCAGATGGTCCTGAGCCCTTAAACCCATGCCAGCTTTATAATAGGATTAAACTTCAGCTCTTTGGACCAGTTACCACAAAGGAACAAAAAACAAAACAAAAACCTACACACGCTTGCAATGGACCACACAGAGAAGCAAGCCGCAAGGCCATTGTATGCTGTGAGTTTCCTCTTTCTCCAGCGGACTAGAAACCCAGAAAGGGCAAACAGGATTGCAGACAAACATAAGCTTTCCTCACCCAACAAGGCCGTCATAGATTTGGTAAAATTCAAATGGGCAAGAGCCTTGCACAGAATCTGTTCATCTCTATGGTCAGTTTCTAGGGATGAAAGGGATCCACCTAACTTGCGTCTCACATTCTAGGAGGACAGTGAAATAGGAAAACGAACAAATAGGGGAGAAGCTGCACCTGATCTACCAGGCTCCACTCCCTTGTCGGTCTCCAGGCCAATACAGCAACAGTTGCTGCTGTCTCCTGCTCTCCATTTGTGGTACCCTGCTCTTCAGATGATGAGCCAGGGTGGTGTAGCAGTCTTAACCCAACCCTCCCAATTAGGTTGGACTCCAACTCCCATCAGCTCCAGCAGGCATGGCCCATGATCAGTCTAACATCTTCAGGTCAGGAAAGGCTAGACTGGAAGAACACTGGACTAGCAAGACCCAGGGTTCAAATCCCTGCTCATCTGCGGAGATCACTGGATGGCCTGGAGTCATTCACTACCCCTCAGCCTAACCTACTTCACAGGGTTGTTATGAAGACAAAGTGGGGGGGGAGAACCAAATTCCTTAGAAGAAATATGCCGCACGCCCCCCATAAAATAGAGCCTCCCAGCTCCCACTTGGGTGCTTTCCCTTTTTGCAGCCAAGGAGATCTTCCCTTCCAGCATCCATCTGCCTCTTTCATGTGGGTGCTACCCTAATGGTGTCCCAGAAGGGAAAACACCAAAGGGTATTAGTCCATCACTGTGCAGCCTGCTGGACTTGGGCGTCTCTCTGGGCAAAGTCTCTAGCAGGTTTTGTTCTATTTCACTGGCTTCTCAAGTTTAAGAGCTGGCATACCATTTTAAAAAAACAACACACAATTGCTCTGACAGCTGACATTTAGAAAGTAATAAGCACCTTTACTTCACTCTCATTGATCAAACACAACAAAATTCAACAGTCTATAAAAAGAGCAGGGCAGGTCTAGGCTGAGTTGGGAGGAAGAGTGTTTTTTTAAAAAATAAAATACTGTAATAGAACAGGAAAACAGTAATTATAAAAATGGCCACAGCAACTAGCTTAAGTATCCTAAAACATTTCAAGATCTAAAAACATAAAGACAGACTGTGTTCTTTAGTGGGTTATATTTTGCTCAGTGTTGCATGAAATGGTTTCCTCAGTGTTATCTTAATTCCTTATGCCAATATAATCTCTCTCTCTCTCTCTTTTTGGGGGGTGGGTAGTATTTTATCTGCATTTCTGTCAAGCAGAGGTTGTTGGAAAATCAAGGTGAAAGAAATGAAGTGTGTTTTCTAAGCAGTCATCTTTAGAAAAATGGCTAACAAGGATTAGAATGCAGAACTGCTACGTTCACGGAATGGCAGACAAATAGGTCCACTATATTATTGACCGGACTCAAATCGCCTAGAAAGAGATTAGCTGTTTTCTGCAAGGCAAAAACTGCAACTAAGTGGGAAAAGAACATTTACCGTGTGGCTCAAAATCATACATCAATTATTTTCTTATTCAAGCTATTGATTATGTATTTAGCAAAACAGTCAATTGCAACAGCAGAATTGGTGACTAGGCTAAATTCACAGATTGTGCGTCAGTCCAGGCTTTCAAATAATGCACTCAACCCTGTGTATGGCGTGTCCACTGCACACTTAGTAAATAATCTCTGCTCTAGCTGTCATCAGGTCTAGAAACTTGAGTCTTAAAAAAAAATGAAGTCAAAGCAGAAGGAAAACTGAATTCCTGCCCCTAAATATGGCATATTAACAACCCAGTAAGTACTGTGCACTTTCATATAACCTACATGTTACATATTAATTACATATTATTAATGTCATACTACATATTAATTACATATTATTAATGTCTCAACAGTCCTCAAAACAATGGTATAACACTGCTTACAAAAGCGTGACCATCATTCACAGAGCTGCCCTCTCCAGATTAGCCTTCTTCCATCATCTATTAAAAGAGCTGTGGCATTCCTCACTGATGAACATGTAACTCTGAGATGCCCTGCCTTATTTCAAAAAATAAGCCACAGCTGTTGTGCATATTTATTTATTATGCTTATCTGTATGCAGGAGAGACCTTTTTGGTGTTTCGGTCACTCTCGGAGGTTGGGAGACAGAGGCACCTGAGAGGGCCTTTTCTGTGGCAGCCCCCAAACTTTGGAACTCCGCTACTTCCTGATGTACACCTGGCCCTAACATTGGGTAACAATCAGGAAACACGCAAAGGAATATCTTTTTACACAGGCTTTAAGGAATGCCCTACTTTATATTTTATACTTTCTGTAGATCAGCTGATGGTAGTTTTGTTTGTTATCATTTAGCTTTTATTGCTTTTATCCTGCTGTAACCTGTCCAGGGACCTTCGGTGAAGGGTGGATAATAAATACACCAAATAAATAAAGAGCACTGCTTCCCACAGGAAAATATCAAAACAGTGGACAGCATTGAAATACAATAAGCATACGATACAAAATTCAGAATACTCAAGCTACACTGAGCAATGATCACACATCAGAAAGAGGCAGTATGAACAAAGGAGGCTTCCATGACACAGCTGCCGCTCTAACCTACCTCCCAGCCGCCAGGGCCTCTCCAAATGCCAATGGACTACAACTCCCATCAGCCCCAGGCAGCATGGGCAATGGTTGGAGATGATAGGAGCTGTAGCCCAGCTACATGCAGAAGGCGACAGGTTCCCCATCTCTACTTCAAGCAGCTGCCTAGATCTTATCTCCTCACAAACAGCTGATTTGGTGCTCTCCTGCATATGAGAATCTGCACCACATATTCTATGCATCCTGCAAGTCAAAGTGGATGGGAGGCCTTTTGGGTGTGCACACCTTGGTTTTTAATTGTAGTTTTGTATTATCTTTGGTGGCTTCCTTGTGCACCTTCTACCCTACCTTGTGAGAAGTTGCCTCCTAAAAAACAGGATATA